TCTTTTGTGGAACAGAACAACAGTAAACAAAACATCGACATGGAGACGAAACAAACTTCACATTTTTATTGCACCTTTAATCCACAAGTTCATCTCACAGAAACGACACTGATCTTTGACACTTGTTCACTCTCTGCTTTGTTTGCTGTTGTGCCTTTGGGCAATGACTTGGACACCACCGAGCGCCGTGGAGCATCACACACGTCACGACCAAACAGCAGCGACTGGTTAAATAAAAAAGTCCCGCCTCCCGTCGAGTGAACGAATCCTGACGCTGCAGGTCAGACGACTCAGGTGAAGCGCCAACAGAAACTTCTGGAATAAAGTGAAAGGTTTTGACAAGTTTTTGGTTTATTTTTAAAAACTCTGTCCATCTGGAGATTTCATTTTAAGTCTGAAGTTTTTTTCCCAAACTCGTGGAGGAACCTTTGATCGTTTGCGCCTGAATCGAGCCTCGTCACGTCCCAAACCGACGCTGGACGACTCCAACGCAAATAACACACAACCTACAGCCAACCCACACTGGCTCCGCTCTGTTCCCACAACCCCCGAGGAGTTTAGTGCCCCTCAAATACCCCCACCCCACCGTCACCCCCGCCCCTGCCCCCGCCCGAGCCCCCCCTCCTGCCCCGCTCCTGTCGGAAGATATTGAAAAAGCGAAGGGGCCTGGATTAATGTGTAATTAAAGGAAATTTGGAAGGGTGAGATGTTGCGGAATGTTAGATCAGTGGCGATGGCGGTGTGGGGCGTCCTTTGGGAGGGTTCATTGATTCTGGACAAAAAAAACTGCGCGAGGGTCCGGCCTGCCTCCCTGTCTGCTCATTTATCAAGCCAGGTCTGACAGAAACTTCACAGCTTGGCCCCTTTTTTCAGCCAACACAATGGAGCGCTACACTGTTTGCTAAAGTTTGGTGCACCGGGAGTCGGACCCAGGAGCCAATCTTCTTTGGACAAAAAGAGAAGAGGAAGGAGGGAGAGAGATGAAGAGAGAGAGAGGGAGGGAGTGGGAGGAGGAGTGGAGGCGGCTGGATGATTCAGGGACACTGTGGAGAAGACTCATAAATGGACGAGTCTAAACTTTTTTTTCCACGCTCCCCACGGCGACAGATATGAGACTTTCATAGTTCAAACACCGCGGGCCGCTGAACGTCCAATAAATGTAATAAATGTCATAAACGTTATAAATGTTATATGTGTTTTTAGGAGCGTAACGATATTCAAGTCTCACGATACGATATCGTCACGATATGAACCTCACGGGACGATATTTACTGCGATATCGTGGGAAAGCTCAGGATTAGAATGTAACAATATCCAAATCTCTTACAATATTTACACAATATTTTCATGATACGATATTTATTGCAATATTTTAACTGTTAATACGCTTCTTTTTCCTCTTCAAATGCCTCGACAAGATTTAATCCAAACAACTAAGAGTTAAAAGTGTTAGAACTGGTCCTGGTCCAGCAGAAGTAAACAACAAGACCAAAAACTCAAGTGAATTCATCTGATATAAAAGTGTATTGAACAGATACATATGTACTCGAGTTTATCAAACTGTTGACCTTTTTTCTGTTCCATTTTTGGTTCTAAAGTTCCAGACGTTTTAAACAGACCATGAATGAAACATGGAACAAATATTATTTCCAAAATTTCAAAGACCCAAAAATCATGTAAATAAATGTTTGTATTTCATCATATCTTGTGTTATTCCATCTTTGAACTGTTGATGAAGGGACAGGATTTAAATATATATATATATATATATATTATATATATATATATATATATATATATATATATATATATATATATATATATATATATATATATATATTTAAAATGATAAAAATGTTCTTGGAAGGACTGACATATTTTATAGAAATAGTTTCTTTCATTTTGAAGTAATATTAAAGTTTTCAGAAGAAAAAAGTGACAAATGATGTAAAATCCTGCAATTTCTTCTTGGGGTGTGCAAAAATATCGGAATATCGATATATCGTATCGTTTAATGTGATGATACAGTATCGATATCGTGGGCTGCTGTACCGATATTTCACCAAGAGTATTTTTAGGTGTGTTTTACTAAATTATTTAGTTACAGCTACAGTTTTGTTGCTTGTGGAGTGAAAGGAAACTCATTTATGCGACACATTTGACATTTTTACTGTTTTGATGATTAAAATGTTTGTGTTTCATTTGAACTTTGCACAAGAAGTGGTTTTACAAAGACTTTTAGTGTCACAGCCACGATTTAGCCTTTATTTTTTATTGAACCGTATCGAATCAATTTGAAATATATCACATCAAATCGAAAGTTCACTGTATCGAGATCTGTATCGTATCGGGAACTTCTTAATGACACCAGCCCGACCTTCTACTTGTTTGTACAATTTTCCCTCCGTTACTTTTCCCTCCGTTACCATGAACTTTCTTAATAAAAAATCTCATGAGTCAAAAAGTCAGAGGTTTTTCAACCTAATCTTGTACCATATGGTAGAAAACTATATGAAGCAAATATTCAAACCAGTTTGTTAAGGATATGGAAGTGAGAACCAAGAGTTATCACTGTTTGGATTTATTGACCAAAAAGTGCTGCATATTTCATTCCCTCTGTTACCGACATGAGTTTTTAAATATTTTGTGAACAACTTGAAAGAATCTGACAGGTTTAACTTGACCCTGTTGGAGTGTAACTCTTTCCTACATTCTGATACTTTACTTATTTCAATAGTTCCTCTAGTTTCTGAATAAGAGACATTTGAATGTCAAAAATCTGACCCTGTTTCCTCCGTTAACACTTGACTGAACCCAACTGTTATTTGTTCTTGTCGTCTGCACTGAAATGGAGCAAAGGATCATGGTCGATGTAGTTCCCGCTGTATTTGTTTTTAGCTGTTGCTTCCCTATAACAGTCTGATTCCTGAGCTGGTTTCACTTGGTGGAAACCGTGTGACCTGCAGCATTAGGATTCGTTCGCTCGACAGGAGGCGGGACTTTTTTTATTGAACCAATCGCTGCTGTTTGTTCGTGACGTTTGTAAAGCTCCAGATCCTGTAGGAAGAAGAACAATAACGTCTTTCCCCGAGATCAAATTCACCAAACATTCTCTTTGTTCAGACTTTAAATCCTCGAGGATCTGGAGAATCGTCGCCAACACAGAATGTCTGTCTCTTCTCTGATTGGCTGGAGCCTGAACTCGACACTTCTGGGGTTTTGTGAATCGTCTGGTGTTTTCTGATTCCTGATCTAGTCACTGGAGAGAAATGAAACTGAGTGGAGACACTAGGTGGCGCCACTATGGCACTATAAGTCTAAATTTAAGTAAAGACACTTGTGATTTGATTTATTGTGATGGTTCATGATGTTATTGTGAGAACTTTGCTGATACCATATTGTGATATTTGGGTTTTTGTTACATCCCACATTTGTTATAAATGTTATAAATGTTATAAATGTTATAAATGTTATAAATGTTCTATATAATCACAGGGAAATGCTGCCACAGAACTCGATCTTGTTTTTTGAGATCAATCCATGACTCACATTATTTTTGACATTTACAACAGGGTCAAATGAAAAGTTGTTTCTCAGCCGTAAATGCAAATGTAAATCTTTTGTTAAATATTTAAAATGTTGTGTCAGATTAAGTTGTCCCTTGTTTTAAATACGATCTTTTACCAGTTCACTTTTGCCTTAGGCCCTGTTCACCGCTGTGTCCAAGAAATAAGAACATTACAGTTTTTACTTTAAATGTCACATTGTTTGTCACGATTATCAATAATGCAAAAAAGAACAGCTTTTGGTTTTTAAAAAGGCACCGAAAGTGAATTACTCGATTTATTCACCCACATGAAAAGCTTCAAGTTTAAACTTTTCCTTTTGATATTTTATCTAAATTTCCATTTTTCTGATCTAAACACAGATCATACGGCAGCAGTTTCCAGCGTTAACAACCAGACGCCTGGGGACAAGAGGACAGTCAAAGTACGTCAACGGAACATTACAAACATTTTAAACATCTTAAACATCATACGCATTATAACTACATGCACTTTTAAACATCATAATACACTCTGCATCACTCTCATACACTCTGCATCACCCTCATACACTCTGCATCACTCTCATACACTCTGCATCACTCCATACACTCTGCATCACTCTCATACACTCTGCATCACTCTCATACACTCTGCATCACTCTCATACACTCTGCATCACTCTCATACACTCTGCATCACTCCCATACACTCTGCATCACTCCCATACACTCTGCATCACTCCCATACACTCTGCATCACTCTCCATACACTCTGCATCACTCTCATACACTCTGCATCACTCTCATACACTCTGCATCACTCTCATACACTCTGCATCACTCTCATACACTCTGCATACACTCTCTCATACACTCTGCATCACTCTCATACACTCTGCATCACTCTCATACACTCTGCATCACTCTCATACACTCTGCATCACTCTCATACACTCTGCATCACTCTCATACACTCTGCATCACTCCATACACTCTGCATCACTCTCATACACTCTGCATCACTCCCATACACTCTGCATCACTCTCATACACTCTGCATCACTCTCATACACTCTGCATCACTCTCATACACTCTCGAACATTCTTCATACACTCTTGTACACTGTCATAAACTCTCGTACACTCTCTGTAGACTCTTCATAAACTCTCGTACACTCTCTGTACACTCTCTCATACACTCTCATACACTCTCGTACACTCTCTGTACATTCTCGTACACTCTCTGTACATTCTCGTACACTCTCTGTACACTCTCTGTACACTCTCTGTACACTCTCTTGTACACTCTCTCATACACTCTCGTACACTCTCGTACACTCTCTTGTACATTCTCGTACTCTCTCGTACACTCTTCGTCCGTTCACGTCCAGTCTTTCGTTCGCCGCAGGTATCACTACTATGGAATCGCGGTGAAGGAATCGTCCCAATATTACGACGTGATGTACTCGAAAAAAGGCGCCGCTTGGGTGAACGAGACGGGCAAGAAAGAAGTGACCAAACAGACAGTGGCGTATTCACCGCGATCCAAACTCGGGACCCTTCTGCCAGAGTTCCCAAATGTCAAAGACCTAAATCTGCCGGCCAGCCTGCCAGAGGAGAGGGTAAGTGCTCGCCGTCACGTACCCCCTCTGGTCAGACCCTTTATCCCAGGAGGACCTTAAAGATTTATGTGCTAGCTTCTCACTAACTCTTAATCTTAGGGGAGATAATGAGATCTAGTTTGGACAAAGGACATGCAGAGGCTGTCCGGCGCTTAAAGAGGGGCCATGATTTTAAAGGGTTGGGTTTTTTCCTGATCTCTAAAGCTCATTTTATTCCCTTTGGCTTCAGCTTAGACCTTTAATGCTCCTTTATTGGTTCACTCGCTTTGGCTGAGATTTATTCTCTTGTTTTTGTAGCACGTTTCAGTTTCCCACCGTGGACGGTCAGCGCTGCGATGTTTTTAGCTCTTTAAACATCGTGTCCGTGTTGTGTTCTCCACAGGTGTCCACCTTCATCATGATGTACCGAACACACTGTCAGAGGATACTGGACACTGTCATCAGAGCCAATTTTGATGAGGCAAGATTTTATATTTACTCAGAGTGTAACGATATTCAAGTCTCACGATACGATATCGTCACGGTCTGAACCTCACGGGACGATATTTACGGCGATATCGTGGGAAAGCTCACGATTAGAGATGTAACAATATCCAAATCTCTTAAGATATTTACACAATATTTTCACAATACGATATTTAGCGCAATATTTTAACTGTTCATACACCTTGACAAGAGTTAATCCAAAGAACTAAGACGTAAAAGTGTTAGAACTGTTATTTCTTCTTGTCGTCTGCACTGAAATGGAGCAAAGGATCATGGTCTGTGTAGTTCCATCTGTGTTTTTTAGCTGTTGCTGCATCATAACTTTTCATTTAAGTAAAAAGACTTTTGTGATTCGATTTATTTTGATGGTCCACGAGAACTTTGACGATACGATATCACGATATTGACTTTTTGTGAGAAGAGACGTTACACAAACATGACTCCGGCTCAGTTAAAAGTCTGTGGATCTGGGAGTCAAAGACAGACGAGTTTAATGACACGAACATTCCAGGAAAAGCAGCGATATCTCCATGGAGACCAGATAAACAGAACATGAAAATATGAGCTTTTAGACACTTTCCACAAACAAAACTGAACGACAATTATTAAAAATCAGACAAAACTGAGTCCTGTGAGCTTCAGGTCGATGTTCTAACACTGTTCCTCCTCAAAAACAGACCTGGAGTTGTGTTTGTTTCATTCACACATGTTTGAGTGACTCTTTAAAGCTCCAAACGCCCTGTTCCACCGTGTGATGTCATAAAGTGGTAGTTTCCAAGTTCTCGGCTCCTTTTCCCTTCAGTTCAGTCGAGATCAGCCACTCCAGGACTGAAACGGTCCAGATGATTCTAGACAAGTTTTAAAAACACGGAGGAGCAGAGGTGACCCCATGACATCACGAGGTGGAACAGGACGTTTTCTATTTGAGAGAAGAAATATAAAGTTTAAATGTGCAGTTTGTGTTAAACATGTGAATGAAACAAAACAAAAAAACAACTCCAGGTCTGTGCGTTCATTTTCAGTATTAAACCTTAATGTTGAACCTCAGTGTTAATCTTCAGTGTTGAACCTCAGTGTTAGTCTTCAGTGTTAAACCTCAGTGTTAATTTTCAGTGTTAAACCTCAGTGTTGAACCTCAGTGTTGAACCTCAGTGTTGAACCTCAGTGTTAATCTTCAGTGTTGAACCTCAGTGTTAATTTTCAGTGTTAATTTTCAGTGTTAAACCTCAGTGTTAAACCTCAGTGTTGAACCTCAGTGTTGAACCTCAGTGTTGAACCTCAGTGTTAATCTTCAGTGTTAAACCTCAGTGTTAATTTTCAGTGTTAAACCTCAGTGTTGAACCTCAGTGTTGATTTTCAGTGTTAAACCTCAGTGTTGAACCTCAGTGTTAATTTTCAGTGTTGAACCTCAGTGTTAAACCTGTGTTAAACCTCAGTGTTGAACCTCAGTGTTAAACCTCAGTGTTAATCTTCAGTGTTAAACCTCAGTGTTAATCTTCAGTGTTAATTTTCAGTGTTAAACCTCAGTGTTGAACCTCAGTGTTAATCTTCAGTGTTAAACCTCAGTGTTAATTTTCAGTGTTGAACCTCAGTGTTAATTTTCAGTGTTGAACCTCAGTGTTAAACCTTAATGTTAAACCTCAGTGTTAATCTTCAGTGTTGAACCTCAGTGTTAAACCTCAGTGTTGAACCTCAGTGTTAATCTTCAGTGTTGAACCTCAGTGTTAAACCTCAGTGTTGAACCTCAGTGTTAAACCTTAGTGTTAATCTTCAGTGTTGAACCTCAGTGTTAAACCTCAGTGTTGAACCTTAGTGTTAATCTTCAGTGTTGAACCTCAGTGTTGAACCTCAGTGTTAATCTTCAGTGTTGAACCTCAGTGTTAAACCTCAGTGTTGAACCTCAGTGTTAAACCTCAGTGTTGAACCTTAGTGTTAATCTTCAGTGTTGAACCTCAGTGTTAAACCTCAGTGTTAAACCTCAGTGTTAATCTTCAGTGTTGAACGTGTTGTTTGTTTTGTGCAGGTCCAGAGTTTTCTGCTGCACTTTTGGCAGGGCATGCCGCCGCACATGCTGCCCGTGCTGGGGTCGCCCACCGTGGTCAACATCGTGGGCGTCTGTGACTCCATTTTGTACAAGGCCATTTCTGGAGTGCTCATGCCCACGGTGCTTCAAGCTCTGCCCGACAGGTGCCACCCTGACACACCCCTTCATCACGCATCACGAAGTCACCAACACCAACGACTTCTGCTTCCAAACCAAATAACGAGGAACCAAAAATACTTTAAAATAGCATCGTTTTTAATGGTTTATGCAAAAGACATTTCGACATTCATGTAAAATATTTCAGAAACACAAATTTTAACTGAATTTAAATAATGTGGGTGACTCGGCTTATTATAGATTTATCATTTCATTGCATTTTCAAATATATAAAGTCAGAGATGTTTTCATATGTTATTTAAATTTCTTTTTTTTTTTTGTTTTTCGTTTTAGTTTGACTCAGGTTATACGGAAATTTGCCAAACAACTGGACGAGTGGCTTAAAATCGCACTTCACGACCTCCCGGAAAACCTGAGGAATATCAAATTTGAATGTAAGCTTTTTAAATAATGTACATATTTATTGACTTTTACCACTGATGATCACTTGTTCCTTCTTTTTCAGTGTCCAGGAGGTTTTCTCAGATCTTAAAGCGGCAAACATCTCTGAATCACCTATGCCAGGTGCTATCTCTGCCTGAAATTTTAATAAAACCCCTCTAAGCTCACGCTGATAAGAGAATAAGAGAGATGGTGCTGGTGTGTTGTAATATTGGAGATTATCTGTTTCCAGGCGTCCCGGACAGTGATAAACAGCGCGGACATCACGTTCCAGATGTTGGAGGACTGGAGGAACGTGGACCTGAGCAGCATCACGAAGCAGACGCTCTACACGATGGAGGACTCCCAGGACGAGCACCGGCTCCTCATCATTCACTGTACGTTTGACTCGACGCGTGTCTGAAAATAACTCTGGTGTTAGTGTTATTTGGACTCACCTGTGGAGTTCGGATAAATCAGGTCAGATTGAAATAAAACTCAGATTCAAGTCTAACAAATCCTCAGACGGAGCAGTGCCGACAGTCAGTGTTGGGAAATTTACTTTTAAAATGTAATCCCCTACAGATTACAGATTACATCCCCCAAAATGTAGTTTGTAACAGAATCCATTAAATTACTTAAAGTGAGTAATGTAATCTGATTACTTTGGATTATTTGATTTGCTGTAGAGAAACAAAGACGAGGAAATCTTCACATAAGAAGTTTTGTCTGATAAAAGAAAATAAAAAGTCCAAACTTTACTGAACCAAATTAAAAATATTATTGATAGAAAACGAAGAAACACGTCCACACAGCAGGATTTAGTCCTGGTTTAGTCCTGATTTAGTCCTGGTTTAGACCTGGTTTAGACCTGGTTTAGTCCTGGTTTAGTTCTGGTTTAGACCTGGTTTAGACCTGGTTTAGACCTGGTTTAGACCTGGTTTAGTCCTGGTTTAGTCCTGGTTTAGACCTGGTTTAGTACTGGTTTAGTCCTGGTTTAGTTCTGGTTTAGACCTGGTTTAGACCTGGTTTAGTCCTGGTTTAGTTCTGGTTTAGACCTGGTTTAGACCTGGTTTAGTTCTGGTTTAGACCTGGTTTAGACCTGATTTAGACCTGGTTTAGACCTGGTTTTAGACCTGATTTAGACCTGGTTTAGTCCTGGTTTAGACCTGGTTTAGACCTGGTTTAGTCCTGGTTTAGACCTGGTTAGACCTGATTTAGACCTGGTTTAGACCTGGTTTAGTCCTGGTTTAGACCTGGTTTAGTCCTGGTTTAGACCTGGTTTAGACCTGGTTTAGTCCTGGTTTAGACCTGGTTTAGTCCTGGTTTAGTTCTGGTTAAACTGGGATGAACATGGACCAAATTTCTTTATTTTTCTATGACAAATAAAATAATAAGTTGAATCTTGAACAGGACTGACCCTCCCCCTTCACCGTGGGCCGATTTGTGGGGGAAAAGTCCAGGGTTGTTTTTTGGTCCCTGTCCGCCCCTGGAAAGAAGCAGGTTTAAAACCTAAAGCGTCTAAAGCAGGACTAAAACAGGTTTAAACAAATGTGTGGTGACTGTTGACCCTCATATGAACCTGTTAACTGCACGATTCACACCAACTGCACCATCAGGTGTGAATGACCAAACAGGATGTAAAGAACACGCAGAGCCACCGAAACTTCTGCTCTTTGAATGTGACGATAAATGCAGAGACCACAAGTGTTATTGTCATTTTAAGTCCTGGTTTAGTCCTGGTTTAGTCCTGGTTTAGACCTGGTTTAGTCCTGGTTTAGACCTGGTTTAGTCCTGGTTTAGACCTGGTTTAGTCCTGGTTTAGACCTGGTTTGGTCCTGGTTTAGACCTGGTTTAGACCTGGTTTAGTCCTGGTTTTAGACCTGGTTTAGTCCTGGTTTAGACCTGGTTTAGACCTGGTTTAGACCTGGTTTAGTCCTGGTTTAGACCTGGTTTAGACCTGGTTTAGACCTGGTTTAGTCCTGGTTTAGTCCTGGTTTAGTCCTGGTTTAGTCCTGGTTTAGACCTGGTTTAGTCCTGGTTTAGTCCTGGTTTAGTCCTGGTTTAGACCTGGTTTAGTCCTGGTTTAGTCCTGGTTTAGACCTGGTTTAGACCTGGTTTAGACCGGGGGGGGGGGGGGGGGGGGGACAGTAAAAATCCCTCTGTCTAATCCATTTATTTCAACAAAGTAACTGTAATCCAATTCCCACTCACTGAAACAGTAACTGTAACTGAATACAGTTACTCATCATTTTTACTCTGATTACTTAACTCCAGTACATGTAATCTGTTACTCCACAACACTGTTTACAGTTAGTATCACACCCCCGAGGTAAAGTACAATGTGATCGGTAGAACGGGCTCTGACCTCTGACCTCTGACCTCTGACCTCTCTGAGACTATGACATCATCACAGTCTGAAAACAACAGATCAAAATAAAAATGTGTAAATGATTAAACTGAAGCTCGAGCGAAAACTGAAAGATGCTCATTAGGGTTATAATTTTTTTGAATTTTTTTTCCAAAATCCAAGTCCTGCATCATGATTGGATGGTTGATGGTCCGACTCCTGCTCGCCTTCACGTAGATGTAAAAGCTTTTGTAGAATTTTCCACAGTATGGCATTAAAACTTATCTATCTCCACGGAGAGACGACCTCGCTCACGGTGTTTTTTTAAGGGACTTCGAGCACTAAAACACCTGTATGTAAAAGTAACAGATACTAGAAAGACTCTGTTCAGACTGTAGGTTTAAAGCTCAAGTCGGATTTTTTTGTGAAATCTGATTTTTGTTGCGAGCTCGTTCACATTTCCAATTAAATGTGACTTGTATGTGACTCCAGTGTGAACTTTAAACGCCCCAAAAGTGTCTCGCATGAGGATCGGAGACACGACGACGTCACACACAAAGAAACTTAAACCTGACGCAGCATCGAGCAGCTGGAGATTTTAAAGCTGCTGTGGAACCGGAGCCAGAACATGAACAGATGATTTGTTTTCAGGAGGAGACTGAGAAGGAGAAAGACGAGGTTTTTTTGGTCGTGGAGTTTTGTGGAGCAGCGGCAGCGACGTCCGGAGAAAAGAAAGTTTGTGTGCAGAGTCGCAGAGTGGACGACTGATCTGATCTGAGCTTCACTGCTTCACTCACACTGAGTCACACACAGTTTTCGTCAACTCTTTGTGAACAGCTTTTGAAGAACTCTTCTTGGGGCAGAGTTCCTCTTCAGTAACGCAGATCTCCAGAAATTCTATCGCCTAAACTCTGGGCTCGTCTCCCAAAATCCAGTCCAGTTGTTGGTAAAATGTTCAGGTCACACGTCCACGGCCGCTTCGTTTGTTTGAGTCTTTAACTTCTTGTATTTTCTCGCAGGATCTTTATTTTTCGTTGACATTGGAGACAAATGTTCACAAACGTTTTTCTCGTCTAATGAAAATTGTGTGTGACTCGTGTGAGTGAAGCAGTGAAGCTCAGATCAGATCAGATCCCTCCGCCCTGCGACTCTAATCTGTGTGTCATTCGTTCATTCGTTTTTCAATATAAAACCAAAAATAAGAAAACAAAAAAACAAGTTTTCTTCGTTATTTGTCTCCAAAACCAAAATGAAAAAACAGATGATTCGTTTTTTCAGTTTTCGATTTTGTGTTTAAATGAAAAATGGAAAAAACGGATAACGACCGTTTCCCGTTTACGTGACTTCAGTGACTGAGATGACGAACTTTTGCACCGCGTACGGACTGAACCAGGACTGAACCAGGACTGATCCAGGTCCGAAACCAGACCGGGACCAGACCAGGACCAGACCGGGACCAGACCAGGACCAGACCGGGACCAGAGCGGGACTGAGACCGGGACCAGACCAGGACCAGACCAGGACCAGACCGGGACCAGAGCGGGACTGAGACTGGGACCGGACCAGACCAGGACCAGACCGGGACCCGACCGGGACCAGACCGGGACCAGCGCGGGACTGAGACCGGGACCAGACCAGGACCAGACCAGGACCAGAGCGGGACCAGGGTGGGACCAGGGTGGACTCCGAGCTTTGACTCTGAGCTTTGACTCTGAGCCTCCGCGGGGTCTGAGCCTCAGCTTCGAGCTCCGGTCCTGCTGTGGGCTCTGAGCCTCCGGTCTGGTCCCGGTCTGGTCCTGGTCTTGTCTTGGTCTCGGTCTCAGGCCCGCTCTGGTCCTGGTCTGGTCCCAGTCTCCGTAGCGCTTTGGTCCTGGTCTGGTCCTGGACCTGGTCCATTTGAACCAAAAGCTCTTAGTTCGGTTCATTTTCGTTGGTGTGAAAGCGTCAGTTGGATCCTTTGCTCCACCTCGGAACCAGTCGTGGTTCTTGAGCGAGGAGGACCAGAGCAGCTCTGGTCCTGGTCTCAGTCCCGCTCTGGTCCCGGTCTGGTCTCGGACCTGGATCAGTCCTGGTTCAGTCCGTACGCGGTGCAAAAGTTCGTCATCTCAGTCACTGAAGTCACGTAAACGGGAAACGGTCGTTATCCGTTTTTTCCATTTTTCATTTAAACACAAAATTGAAAACTGAAAAAACGAATCATTATCCGTTTTTTCATTTTGGTTTTGGAGACAAATAGCGAAGAAAACTGTTGTTTTTTCATTTTCTTATTTTTGGTTTTATATTGAAAAACGAATGAACGAATGAAACACGGATTGACTCTGCACACACACGTTCATTTCTACAAAACTTCACGACCAAAAAACCTGGTCCTTCTCAATCTCCTCCTGAAAACAAATCATCTGTTCATGTTCTGACTCTGGTTCGACAGCAGCTTTAAAATCTCCGGCTGCTCAGATTTGTTTAGAAATCGACAAGTACGTCATTTTTACAACACAGAAATAAGCCAAGATGATAACAAAATCTGCCCCGCAAATCTGTCTGTAAACATTTTAAAGGGTTGTAAATACAAAAGGGTCTTGGTTAAATCTAAACGGGAGGAAGAGCAGCATATTTTTTTATCAGAGGATGATTGACTTTTGACGTGCAGCAAAACAACAAACGACAACTCGCTCCAAAATGTGGAGGGAATTTGGGTGGAAGTGTTTTATATGATTCTTTATTACTCCTCAAATTCCTGCCAGAGCTCAAGGGTCAGATTCTCTTTGTTGGAGACAGTTCGGCCGCTCAGACGCCAATCATAATCTGATTTTTTGGACATGTACAAAATTAAAATCAAATCAAAAAACAGGTACGATCTTGACTTACGTTGTCCCCAAGGATCTGAAGATATTTTTGTTGGGCCTCCTGCCTGGAGAAGTGATCGAAAAAGTGACAGAACCTTTTTAAGATTCTGACTTTGGCATCAAAAAAAGCGAAAACAAGAAACTGGTTTAAAAAGGATCCACCGTCAGTGAACCAGCAGCTCGATGTTGTAGAAGAAATATTCTCCGTGAAATGACTGACTTTTTTTTTCGTCTCAAAGGACATTTCTTCATTAAACGCTGGACAAAATGGTTGAAATATAAACAAAAAGAGCTTGACTTCTATGTTCTTATAACAGTGGAACAGTGCCACAGGTTTTGTATTTGTTTGTTTATTTCACAAAACTTGAAAAAAAAAATTTAAATCTCCAGGTGCTCGATGCTGCGTCCAGGTTTAGGTTTCTCTGTGTGTGACGTCGTCGTGTCTCCAGTGTCACATGTGGGACACTTTTGGACCGTTTAATGTTCACACTGGAGTCACATACAAGTCACATTTAACTGGAAATGTGAACGACCTCGAAAAAAAAAATCTGATTTCACGAAAAAATCTGAATTGAGCGTTAAACCCTGCAGACTGAACAGAGTCCAAGGCTCCGTTCACACTGCACCTGAAGTGACCCAAATCAGATTTTTTGTCTCTATGTTCCTGTATCTGATCTTTTAATGACGTCTGAACCACACAGATCCGATGTTTTCACATGTGACCAGGACACTTGGGCTACGTTCAGTCTGCAGGTTTAACGCTCAATTCAGATTTTTTTGGTGAAATCCGATGTTTTTTCGAGCTCGTTCACATTTCCAGTTAAATGTGACTTGTATGTGACTCCAGTGTGAACATTAAACGGTCCAAAAGTGTCCCACATGTGACACTGGAGACACGACGACGTCAACCGCAGCGAGCGTCTCTGTGTTTACACAAGTTGAACAAACATGGACGCAGCATCGAGCACCTGGAGATTTTAAAGTTCCTCTCGTACCGGAGCCACAACATGAACAACTGACTTGTTTTAAGGAGGAGATTGAGAAGGAGAAGGACCAGGTTTTTGGTGGTGGTGTTTTGTGGTGAGTGGAGATGTGCTTCACTTCAGTCACATGGATCATGAACAGTTTTCTCCTACTAACATGTGACTTGAGTGTGAACAGTCAGGTCACATTCATCCACCTACACGTCATCAACAAGACACAAACGTCACTATTCTGCACTGAAGTAGAGAAAACTGTTCATGATCCATGTGACTGAAGTGAAGCACATCTCCACTAACGACCTCGAAAAAAAACACAAATCACAAAAAAATCGGAATCGAGCATTAAGCCCTGCAGTTTGAACAGAGTCTTCGAAAGTTGAACTTATAGTTTTCCGTTTTGCTCTGGGTGTTGGTGAAGCTTCAGCTGATCTGTAAAAGCTTCACGATAGATTTCGAGATTTGATTTTGGTCCGAAGTGAACGACGCGTCCATCATGAGCTCAGAGACGCCCACAGGCCTGAGTCCCACACAACAGGAAAGAACCAATATTCCCACGACCACAGTCCAACCTGAAGGACCCAGACCAGAAGGTCAAGAGGAGCAGCCCCCTGTGGAGGATCACCTCTGCAGGGGTCCAGGGGTCAGAGAGGGTCCTGTGGGGTCAGAGATGGTCCTGTGGGGTCAGAGATGGTCCTGTGGGGTCAGAGATGGTCCTGTAGGGTCAGAGATGGTCCTGTGGGTCAGAGATGGTCCTGTGGGGTCAGAGATGGTCCTGAAGGGTCAGAGATGGTCCTGTGAGGTCAGAGATGGTCCTGTAGGGTCAGAGATGGTCCTGTGGGGTCAGAGATGGTCCTGTGAGGTCAGAGATGGTCTGTGGGTCAGAGATGGTCCTGTGGGGTCAGAGATGGTCCGGTCAGAGAGGGTCAGAGATGGTCCTGTGAGGGTCAGAGATGGTCCTGTGAGGTCAGAGATGGTCCTGTAGGGTCAGAGAGGGTCCTGTGGGGTCAGAGATGGTCCTGAAGGGTCAGAGAGGGTCCTGTGGGGTCAGAGATGGTCCTGAAGGGTCAGAGATGGTCCTGTGAGGTCAGAGATGGTCCTGTGGGGTCAGAGATGGTCCTGTGGGGTCAGAGATGGTCCTGTGGGTCAGAGATGGTCCTGTGAGGTCAGAGATGGTCCTGTAGGGTCAGAGATGGTCCTGAGGGTCAGAGATGGTCCTGAAGGGTCAGAGATGGTCCTGTGAGGTCAGAGATGGTCCTGTGGGGTCAGAGATGGTCCTGTGGGGTCAGAGATGGTCCTGTGGGGTCAGAGATGGTCCTGTGGGGTCAGAGATGGTCCTGTCAGAGATGGTCCTGAGGGTCAGAGATGGTCCTGTGGGGTCAGAGATGGTCCTGTGGTCAGAGATGGTCCTGTCAGAGATGTGGGTCAGAGATGGTCCTGTGGGTCAGAGATGGTCCTGTGAGGTCAGAGATGGTCCTGTGGGTCAGAGATGGTCCTGTGGGGTCAGAGATGGTCCTGTGAGGGTCAGAGATGGTCCTGTGGGGTCAGAGATGGTCCTGTGGGGTCAGAGATGTGTCCTGGGGTCAGAGATGGTCCTGTGGGGTCAGAGATGGTCCTGTGGTCAGAGATTGATCCAGGTTGTCAGATGATGTGTTTGAACCATTCTTTTTGTGTGTGACATTGTCGTTGTCGTTGTGTGTTTTAATAGTTTTTGTGTGTTTAGTGTTTGTGTGTTTGAGTCGTTGTCGTTGTGTGTTTTAATAGTTTTTGTGTGTTTAGTGTTTGTGTGTTTGAGTCGTTGTCGTTGTGTGTTTTAATAGTTTTTGTGTGTTTAGTGTTTGTGTGTTTGAATCGTTGTCGTTGTGTGTTTTAATAGTTTTTTTGTGTGTTTGAATCGTTGTCGTTGTGTGTTCAGTGTATCAGGAGTTTGACCGTTTGCTGGAGGAACAGTCTCCCATCGAGTCGTACATCGACTGGCTCGACTCCATGGTGGATCGCTGCGTCGTCAAGGTCAGTGCAGCGTCCGGTGTCGGACACAACACAACGACTCTCACAAAATGGAACAGGAAACTGAAACACACAATAAAATGGGGAAACAGTTTAATCCGTGTGGCATTTGTTCATTCGTTTTTCAAAATAAAACCAAAAATAAGAAACTGAAAAAAGATTTTCTTCATTATTTGTCTCCAAAACCAAAATGAAAAAACAGATAAAGATTCAGATAAAGACTTTTCAGTTTTGGATTTTGTGTTTAAATGAAAAATGGGAAAAAAACAGAGACCGTTTCCCTGTTTACGTGACTTAAACTGTGACGCCGGACTGAACCAGGACTAAACCAGGTTTGACCAAACCGGAGCCAGACCGGGACTGAGACCAGGACTTAGACGGGGAACAGGACCAGGACCAGGCCGTGATTGAGACCTGGACTGAGACTGGGACCAGACTGGGACTGAGACCAGGACTTAGACCAGGACTGAGAGCAGAAACAAGTCCTGGACCAGGCCGTGATTGAGACCTGGACCAGACCAGAACTGAAAACGGTTTAGTCCTGGTTCAGTCCTGGTTTAGTCCTGGTTCATTTTGGCATCGTAGTTTAAGTCACGTAAACGGGAAACGGCCATTATCTGTTTTTTCCATTTTTCATTTAAACACAAAATCAAAAACTGAAAAAAACCAAATCATTTTCTATTTTTTTCATTTTAATTTTGGAGACAAATAATGAAGAAAACAGTTTTCTCATTTTAAAGTTTTATATTGAAAAATTTATGAACAAACGACACTCAGTTTCAGTTTGTTATTTCATTTTTCCGTTTTAGTGTCAAACAAAAAATCAGATTTTGACCGTTTCTCTGTGTTTCAGTTTTGATATTTGATTCTTTGGTTTATTTAAAGTTTTGCTGCTGAAGGAAAAACCTGCAGTTTCGTGGACAAACACGTCGACACGTTTATTTTCATGTCTTAGAAAGTTTTTGTTGATCCACAACAAGAAACGGGAAACAGTGAGAAACTCTTTTTAGTTCAGTCGACTTCGTAGAACTTTAATAAAAATAGTTTTTATTCTAGATCCATGGTTGAAACTGCAGCAGAACTTCAGAGGCAAATAAACCAGAGAGAATAAAATATCACAATTAAAACTGGCATCGAGACCACGTTTTTTTTTTTCCAAACTTTTTTTTATAACAATTTCCAAATATCAGTTTTGTCTGGATAAAATAATTAAATATAGACAAAAAGCTGAGTAAAACAGACACAAAATAAAACAAAAGTCAGCACCCAAAAATACAAAAACGACCAGGTCACTCACAATAAACATGCACCAGACTGAAAAAAGAGTGAGACAAGAATCAAAGACGAGTGAAAAACATCATTCTGGAACCGAGGGAAAAGTAACAGACTCAACAAACTGAAAAAATGGAACCTACGTTTTCTTGAAAGTCTTCAGTGACCCCAAGAAAACATCTGACTTTTTCCACGTTCACAAAATATAAAATGTCTGTAATCCCGGCGTGGAGCAGGACACTTCCCCTTGAGACCGACTTTTTTGATTGGCTTAATTTGAGATAAACTTTAAATTAAATATTGGAAATCGAGGTCGAATCTGTGTTTTAGTTTGACACTAAAACGTCAAACTGAACTAACAAACAGTTTTCACACTCGATTGTTTTTGGTTCTTAACTGAAATTCGTCCCGTTTAGTTTTTGCTGTGAGGATTTGTTGAATTCGCTCCGAGGTGACGGACGCCCGGATCTCCTCCGATCCTCCTCACGCTTAATGATGTCTTCAAGCTTCCCCCCGTTTGCGTCCATTATGTTCCAGATATGGGGGGCTTGTAAAATTCGGTCGCCGTGGCAACGCCCGGGAGCGCGCCGACAATGGTTGAATGGGAGGGGGGCGGGTCCGCGGGGCAAATTAAAGAGTTGACTTGTTGACATGTTTTTGGTCGGTGAGGGTTAAGCCCCAGTGTGGACCGCGGGGTTAAAGATACCCCCGGCCCCCAGCCCCCCCCCCCCCCCCCCCCCCCACGGGCCCCCAGCCCCCCCCCCCCCCCAGACCCCCAGCCCCCCGCCCCCCCCGCCCTGCCCGTCTTTTCTCATGCTAATGCTCCCTCTCTCTAGGTGGCATTGAAGAGGCCCGGCTGCTTGAAGAAGGTGGCCCAACAGTTCCTGCTGATGTGGTCGTGTTTCGGGACCAGAGTCATTCGGGACATGACGCTCCACAGCGCCCCCAGCTTCGGTGAGACGCCATTACACTTATGACACGAAACCAACGTCGAACATCGAAGAACTGGACCGAGTGAAACCGAGGGACGTTCTGCGATATCGACGTAAAAGCTCCAGGCTCGGTTTGAAACGCCGAACCTGAACCGTTTTTCAATGTAAAACCAAAAATAAGAAAATGAAAAAATAACAGTTTTCTTCATTATTTGTCTCCAAAACCAAAACGAAAAAAACAGGAAATGATTCGTTTTTTTTAGTTTTCGATTTTGTGTTTAAATGAAAAATGGAAAAAAAAATGACGTTTCCCGTTTTTGTGACTTAAACTGCGATACCGAACTAAACCAGGACTAAACCAGGACTAAACCAGGACTAAACCAGGACTAAACCAGGACTAAACCAGAACTAAACCAGGACTAAACCAGAACTAAACCAGGACTAAACCAGGACTAAACCAGAACTAAACCAGAACTAAACCAGGACTAAACCAGAACTAAACCAGGACTAAACCAGGACTAAACCAGGACTAAACCAGGACTAAACCAGAACTAAACCAGACTAAACCAGAACTAAACCAGGACTAAACCAGGACTAAACCAGAACTAAACCAGAACTAAACCAGGACTAAACCAGAACTAAACCAGGACTAAACCAGGACTAAACCAGAACTAAACCAGGACTAAACCAGGACTAAACCAGGACTAAACCAGAACTAAACCAGGACTAAACCAGGACTAAACCAGAACTAAACCAGAACTAAACCAGGACTAAACCAGGACTAAACCAGAACTAAACCAGAACTAAACCAGACTAAACCAGGACTAAACCAGGACAAAACCAGACTTAAACCAGGACTAAACCAGAACTAAACCAGGACTAAACCAGGACTAAACCAGGACTAAACCAGAACTAAACCAGGACTAAACCAGGACTAAACCAGACTAAACCAGAACTAAACCAGGACTAAACCAGGACTAAACCAGACTAAACCAGAACTAAACCAGGACTAAACCAGGACTAAACCAGAACTAAACCAGACTAAACCAGACTAAACCAGGACTAAACCAGAACTAAACCAGGACTAAACCAGGACTAAACCAGGACTAAACCAGAACTAAACCAGGACTAAACCAGGACTAAACCAGAACTAAACCAGGACTGAACCAGAACTAAACCAGGACTAAACCAGAACTAAACCAGGACTAAACCAGGACTAAACCAGAACTAAACCAGGACTAAACCAGAACTAAACCAGGACTAAACCAGAACTAAACCAGACTAAACCAGGACTAAACCAGGACTAAACCAGGACTAAACCAGAACTAAACCAGAAACTAAACCAGGACTAAACCAGAACTAAACCAGGACTAAACCAGGACTAAACCAGGAACTAAACCAGAACTAAACCAGGACTAAACCAGGACTAAACCAGAACTAAACCAGGACTAAACCAGGACTAAACCAGAACTAAACCAGAACTAAACCAGGACTAAAACTAAACCAGGACTAAACCAGAACTAAACCAGAAACTAACCAGACTAAACCAGACTAAACCAGAACTAAACCAGGACTAAACCAGGACTAAACCAGGACTAAACCAGGACTAAACCAGGAACTAAACCAGGACTAAACCAGGACTAAACCAGGACTAAACCAGAACTAAACCAGGACTAAACCAGGACTAACCAGGACTAAACCAGAACTAAACCAGGACTAAACCAGGACTAAACCAGACAACTAAACCAGGACTAAACCAGACTAAACCAGGACTAAACCAGAACTAAACCAGGACTAAACCAGGACTAAACCAGGACTAAACCAGAACTAAACCAGGACTAAACCAGGACTAAACCAGAACTAAACCAGGAAACCAGAACTAAACCAGACTAAACCAGGACTAAACCAGAACTAAACCAGGACTAAACCAGAACTAAACCAGGACTAAACCAGGACTAAACCAGGACTAAACCAGAACTAAACCAGGACTGAACCAGAACTAAACCAGAACTAAACCAGGACTAAACCAGAACTAAACCAGAACTAAACCAGGACTAAACCAGGACTAAACCAGGACTAAACCAGAACTAAACCAGGACTAAACCAGGACTAAACCAGAACTAAACCAGAACTAAACCAGGACTGAACCAGAACTAAACCAGAACTAAAACCAGGACTAAACCAGAACTAAACCAGGACTAAACCAGGACTAAACCAGAACTAAACCAGGACTAAACCAGGACTAAACCAGAACTAAACCAGAACTAAACTAGAACTAAACCAGGACTAAACCAGGACTAAACCAGAACTAAACCAGGACTAAACCAGAACTAAACCAGAACTAAACCAGGACTAAACCAGAACTAAACCAGAACTAAACCAGGACTGAACCAGAACTAAACCAGAACTAAACCAGACTAAACCAGAACTAAACCAGAACTAAACCAGGACTAAACCAGGACTGAACCAGGACTAAACCAGAACTAAACCAGGACTAAACCAGAACTAAACCAGAACTAAACCAGGACTAAACCAGAACTAAACCAGAACTAAACCAGGACTAAACTAGAACTAAACCAGAACTAAACCAGGACTAAACTAGAACTAAACCAGGACTAAACCAGACTAAACCAGAACTAAACCAGGACTAAACCAGGACTAAACCAGAACTAAACCAGAACTAAACCAGGACTAAACTAGAACTAAACCAGGACTGAACCAGAACTAAACCAGAACTAAACCAGGACTAAACCAGGACTAAACCAGGACCGAACCAGGACTAAACCAGGACTGAACCAGGACTGAACCAGGAATAAATCAGGACTAAAGAGTTTTCAGTCCCGGTCTGGTTCGGTCTTAGTCCCGGTCTCAATCACGGCCTGGTCATGGTCTGGTCCCGGTCTCAGTCTGGGAATCAGTCCTGGTCTCGGTTCTGGTCTGGTCCAGGTCTGGTCCTGGTCTGGTCCCGAGCTCAGTCTTGGTCTCAGTCCTGGTCTCAGTTCTGGTCTGGTCCTGGTCTCAGTCCCAGTCTGTTTCCAGTCTGGTTCTGGTCTGGTCAGACCTGGTTTAGTCCTGGTTTAGTCCTGGTTTAGTCCTGGTTCAGTCCAGCACGTTGCGTGGACCGTCCCCCGTCCTGTACGCCGCACGGGCTGCGCCACTAAACCAGAACTAAACCAGAACTAAACCAGGTCTAAAACAGGATTTAGCCTGGACTTAACCAGGCTGGAGGACGGCCCACCGCCTCCTCCCAAACCTAAATATTATCTGATTGTCTGTGGTGCATAAAAGTTTGGGGACCACGGTGTTCGACAGCTCTTTTCCGCCTCTCTGTGTTTGATGGAGTTTAAGAAAGTGAACGTCCACATCTTGCTTACGGGCGGGAGCGGGACTGAAAATTCTGGTGGAAACCCAAGATCAAAGACCGAGACGGCTGCAGGACTTTCATAAAGCAGCTCATTAACAAAAACAGTTTGAGTGGTTCTTTTGGTTTGTGCGAGTCGTCAGTCCAGCTCCTGCTCCCTGAAGAGTCCCGTCAGCAGCAGCAGCAGCAGCAGCAGCAGCAGCAGCAGCAGCAGCAGCAGCACAATCAGGCGTCTGTGCCCGGGCCGCTCGGCTGTGCGACCTCGCGGGCGCTCTGCTGGGACCTCGGGGGCTCGGCTGTGCGACCTCGGGGGCTCGGCTGTGCGACCTCGGGGGGCTCGGCTGTGCGACCTCGGGGGGCTCGGCTGTGCGACCTCGGGGGGCTCGGCTGTGCGACCTCGGGGGGCTCGGCTGTGCGACCTCGGGGCTCGGCTGTGCGACCTCGGGGGGCTCGGCGTCGAGCACATTTCACACATAAGGACGTGACGTAAAGGGAAAATCTAAACATTTTAAATAGAATGTTTAAAAGTCTGTAGAGAAGAGACAACGATGCTCTGCGGCTCCAGCGCAGTGTTTCTCTCCCACAGTTTCACATTTTACAAAGTGAAATTTTATAATATTTGAATTTTAAAAAACCTATGGCCAATATGTTTTTTTGAGCTGATACGATATTCGATATTTGTGCTGCTGTAAATAATCTTTACCGATATTTACCGATCCACAGAGAAGCCCCGCACTTTTATCTTCAGCTGAAGCCAAAACCCCACATAAACTTTTCACTTTAAAAAATACAACAAAATGTTTTTATTTTAATTTGCTGCCTGCCTGTGTCACCTCCAGAGCAAAAAGTGGAGTGTTAAAATTGACTCACAGAATCAATTTGAACATTTTCTCAGAGTTTATTTGAGTTCACTCTGTTCTAGAGTTAATTTAACATTTTTGGAAACAACGAAAGTTCCTGTTTAACCCGATATCAAGAGTTATATGTTATATGTTATATAACGTTTTGAGAGTAAACGGATAACACTTTGTAGAGTTATCCTGATTTAACTCAACAACACACAGAGGAGTTTTATTTTTACACTTTATTTGAGTGAATTTAAAATGAAATTATGAACAAACTGGTTCAGACTGGTTCTACTCTCACAGGAGTGGGAAATGGTGGAAGGAGACAAATTAACACTAAGAGAAGTTGAATTAACACTAGGGGAGTCCCCCTTAAGTGTAGTTCAACTTCCACTAGTGTTAATTAACACTAAGGGAAGTTAAATTGACTTGAACCAGATCAACTCTGGCAAATAACCCGAACTCAAACCCCCATTTAACTTTCAAAAAGTTAAAATAACACTGTCTGTGTTAAAAACAACCCTGTAGTTTTTGCTGTGTAGAACTGTTTAATGTTCTTCTATTCACTTTTTTACTTGTAAAAATGGAAAGAAAAGATCACACAGAAAATTGGGCAGCGCATAAAAGACCAGTATCGAATATTGGTATTGAATATTGACAATGGCCGATACCGATACCGGAGTTGTAAATGACCCTAAAAACAACAACTAAAGCTTCATTCACACGGGATCAGTTTGACCTGTGACCTTTGGTGGTTTGTCTCTGCGGACGATGCGCCGCCTCCTCCAGCCGAGTGTCTCCTCCAGCTCTTCACCCTTTTCACGCTTAAACCTCGTGTCCACATCGGCCACAGAAGAAGCAGAAGTGAAACAGTCTCAGTCCTGTTGTTTTTTTTTTCCACAGGTTCCTTCCACTTGATCCACCTCATGTTTGACGACTACGTGCTTTACCTGATGGAGTCTCTGCACTGTCAGGAGCGAGCCAACGACCTGATGCGAGCCATGAAGGGCGGCGCCACAGGTCAGTCCCAACGAACAAACACGAACGACGCTCAGCAGCACGGACGCGGCAGATGTTCACGATGAAATGAAGTGGTTTTTGAGGCTCCCTGGATGTAGTTAAGACTTTTCAAACGTGAACAGGAAACTGGTGTCGTGTCGTTCTGGTCGTGGACTCGCATCACGGCTCAGACTCTGTTCTCTGTTCTGTTCTGTTCTCGTTTCCTCGTCACAAATCGACCTGGAGAATCCGAGCGTCAGTCGTTCATTGGTTTTTCAAAATAAAACCAAAAACAAGAAAATGAAAAAAAAAAAAAAAAGCTACAGTTTTCTTCATTATTTGTCTCCAAAACCAAAATGAAAAAACAGATGATTCGTTTTTATAGTTTTTGATTTTGTGTTTAAATGAAAAATGGAAAAAAACGGATAACAGCTGTTTCTCGTTTCCGGACTTTAATGGACTGAACCAGGACTTGAACCGGGACTAAACCTGTAGTGTCGGGACAAGCCTGGAGGTCTGCCCACGTAGACTGATCAGGACTGAGACCAGGACCAGGACTAGGACTGAACCAGGACTGATCCCAGGACTAAAACAGGAATACACTAGAACTAAACAAGGACTAAACCAGGTCTAAACCAAGACTGAAGCAGGACTAAACCAGATCCCTCTGTCAGTTCCGGTCTCAGTCCTGGATCAGTCCTGGTTCAGTTCTGGTCCTGGTCCTGGGCTCAGTCTTGGTTTGGTCCCGGTCTAAGTACTGGTCTCAGTCCCAGTCTGGTTCCGGTCTGGTTGGACCTGGTTTAGTCCTGGTTCAGTCCTAGTTCAGTCCTGGTTTAGTCCTGGTTTAGTCCTGGTTTAGTCCTGGTTTAGTCCTGGTTTAGTCCTGGTTCAGTCCTGGTTCAGTCCTGGTTTAGTCCTGGTTTAGTCCTGGTTCAGTCCTGGTTCAGTCCGGCATCACAATTTAAGTCACGGGAAACAGGAAATTGTCGTTATCTGTTTTTTCCATTTTTCATTTAAACACAAAATCCAAAATTAAAAAAATGAATCATTATCTGTTTTTTAATTTTGGTTTTGGAGACAAATAATTAAGAAAATGTTATAGTTTTTTTCCGTTTTCTTATTATTTTTATTTGAAAACACAAATGAACGAACGACAATGAAAAAATAACCTAATAACATAAAATATCTGAAATTGGACTGTTAAATGAAGTGTGTCTGTGATGAAGCGTCAGTGTTATTCTGCAAAAAAAAAAAACACTCACCCTGTCGTTAAATCTGATGTTGTTCTCAAATGTGACTGTTGTGTTTGTTATTTTATTTATTTTATTGGAAATGGGAAGATAAAAAATATTGTCACATTATATTACTACTTTTTTTTTTTGAGACATTTTCTTAATGTGCACAAAAAAAAAAAAAAAAAAAGTTATTCATCAGCACAATGGTATAATTCTGAAACCCCTTGGCGAGGGACTTTGCCGGGTTGGCGAGGAGCGACCGGGAGCCTCCAGACCCTTGATCTAAAATAAAATCACTTTGACTTTCAGAGGACGACTTCTCCCTCACAGAGACCACCCCGCCCCCCCCCCCCTCCCCGGGCTCCTACTCCCCCGCCCGCTCCGTCCATTCCGCGGGCGTGTCCTCGGCCGGCTCCCCCTCCCCCGAGTACCCGGGCGTACCCACGACCACAGGTGAGGCCGCGCCCGTCACACAGAACGCCAACCGTAGCTGTGCCGCTACCACACGGTCTCCTCTGTGTCTACATATGTGTGTGCCAGGCGCTGTTCAGTCATATACCTGGTCCCTTACCTACACAGTGACCACAGCCGGAGCCTCGGCTGCAGACGCCGGACACCAGCTGCCCTGCATGAGGAGCGGCGCCCAGGCCCCGCCCCCGACCTCTGCCCACCGAGTGCCCGTCTACAGAGAGGAGCACGGGTGAGAACACAAATATACAAATAAATATACAAATACAATATACAAATAATAATGTGTCCGGTCAAGTGTTAACGGAGGAAACAGGGTCAGATTTTTGACATTCAAATGTCTCTTATTCAGAAACTAGAGGAACTATTGAAATAAGTAAAGTATCAGAATGTAGGAAAGAGTTACACTCCAACAGGGTCAAGTTAAACCTGTCAGATTCTTTCAAGTTCAAGACAAAAAATGTAAAAACTCATGTCGGTAACGGAGGGAATGAAATATGCAGCACTTTTTGGGCAATAAATCCAAACAGTGATAACTCTTGGTTCTCACTTCCATATCCTTAACAAACTGGTTTGAATATTTGCTTCATATAGTTTTCTACCATATGGTACAAGATTAGGTTGAAAAACCTCTGACTTTTTGACTCATGAGATTTTTTATTAAGAAAGTTCATGGTAACGGAGGGAAAAGTAACAGAGGGAAAATTGTACAAACAAGTAGAAGGTGCAGGATTTTACATCATTTGTCACTTTTTTCTTCTGAAAACTTTAATATTACTTCAAAATGAAAGGAAACTGTTTCTATAAAATATGTCAGTCCTTCCAAGAACATTTTTATCATTTTAAATACTTTTTTTTTAAAAATCTTGTCCCTTCATCAACAGTTCAAAGATGGAATAACACAAGATATGATGAAATACAAACATTTATTTACATGATTTTTGGGTCTTTGAAATTTGGGAAATAATTTTTGTTCCATGTTTCATACATGGTCTGTTTAAAACGTATGGAACTTTAGAACCAAAAATGGAACAGAAAAAAGGTCAACAGTTTGATAAACTCGAGTACATATGTATCTGTTCAATACACTTTTATATCAGATGAATTCACTTGAACTTTTGGCCTTGTTGTTTATTTCTGCTTGACCGGGTCCAAAGACAATATACAAACACAAACACAAATACAAAGATAAATATTGGCTTGTGTGCAGGTACACGGGGAGTTACAACTATGGAGGTTACACCAACCAGCATCCTCACGCGCTGCAGGGCCAGTACACGAGTCTGGGACATGAGTCTGCGATCGGCTCGCCCCTGCACTACTCCACCTACCACCGCTCCTCTGCACAGGTCTGAACACAAGTGTCTGACTTAAAACATCTTAACCACTAAAATAGAAAGAGAATTTACTCTTAAATGAGTTTAGTGTAAAAGACGACGACGATGATGATGATGATGATGATGATGATGATGATGATGATGAGGGCCTAAAACCTCAAACTAAAATCTCCACTGGAAGGTGTGTGTGTATGTGTGTATATATCTATATAAATATATATATATATATATATGTGTGTGTGTGTGTGTACGTGTATATAGATGTGTGTGTGTGTGTGTATATGTATGTGTATGTGTGTGTGTATAGATGTGTGTGTGTGTGTGTGTGTGTGTATATATATAGATGTGTGTGTGTGTGTATGTGTGTATAGATGTGTGTGTGTGTATATATAGATGTGTGTGTATATAGATGTGTGTGTGTATATATATAGATGTGTGTGTGTGTATGTGTATGTGTGCGTGTGTATAGATGTGTGTGTATATATATAGATGTCTGTGTGCGTGTGTGTGTGTGTGTGTATATATATAGGTGTGTGTGTGTGTATGTGTGCGTGTGTATAGATGTGTGTGTGTATATATAGATGTGTGTGTGTATAGATGTGTGTGTGTGTATATATAGATGTGTGTGTGTGTATAGATGTGTGTGTGTGTGTATGTGTGCGTGTGTATAGATGTGTGTGTATATATAGATGTGTGTGTATATATAGATGTGTGTGTATATATAGATGTGTGTGTGTATATAGATGTGTGTGTGTATATATGTGTGTGTGTGTATAGATGTGTGTGTGTGTATAGATGTGTGTGTGTGTATAGATGTGTGTGTGTATAGATGTGTGTGTGTATATATAGATGTGTGTGTGTGTATGTGTATGTGTGTATAGATGTGTGTGTATATATAGATGTGTGTGTGTGTATATATAGATGTGTGTGTGTATAGATGTGTGTGTGTGTGTATGTGTGCGTGTGTATAGATGTGTGTGTATATATAGATGTGTGTGTATATATAGATGTGTGTGTGTATATATGTGTGCGTGTGTATAGATGTGTGTGTATAGATGTGTGTGTGTGTATAGATGTGTGTGTGTGTATATGTGTGCGTGTGTATAGATGTGTGTGTGTGTGTGTGTATATATATAGATGTGTGTGTGTGTGTATGTGTATGTGTGCGTGTGTATAGATGTGTGTGTATATATAGATGTGTGTGTGTATAGATGTGTGTGTGTGTATATATATAGATGTGTGTGTGTGTGTGTATGTGTATGTGTGCGTGTGTATAGATGTGTGTGTATATATAGATGTGTGTGTGTGTATGTGTATGTGTGTGTGTGTATAGATGTGTGTGTATATATAGATGTGTGTGTGTGTGTATGTGTATGTGTGCGTGTGTATAGATGTGTGTGTATATATAGATGTGTGTGTGTATATATAGATGTGTGTATATATAGATGTGTGTGTGTATAGATGTGTGTGTGTATATATAGATGTGTGTGTGTATAGATGTGTGTGTGTGTATGGATGTGTGTGTGTATAGATGTGTGTGTGTGTATATATAGATGTGTGTGTGTATAGATGTGTGTGTGTATAGATGTGTGTGTGTATATATAGATGTGTGTGTGTATGTGTATGTGTGTGTGTGTATAGATGTGTGTGTGTATATATAGATGTGTGTGTGTATAGATGTGTGTGTGTGTGTGTGTATGTGTATGTGTGCGTGTGTATGGATGTGTGTGTATATATAGATGTGTGTGTGTATAGATGTGTGTGTGTGTATAGATGTGTGTGTGTATATATAGATGTGTGTGTGTATAGATGTGTGTGTGTGTATATAGATGTGTGTGTGTATATATATGATGTGTGTGTGTATAGATGTGTGTGTGTATATATAGATGTGTGTGTGTATAGATGTGTGTGTGTGTATAGATGTGTGTGTGTATATATAGATGTGTGTGTGTGTGTATGTGTATGTGTGCGTGTGTATAGATGTGTGTGTGTGTATATATAGATGTGTGTGTGTATAGATGTGTGTGTGTATATATAGATGTGTGTGTGTCAGCGGTGGTCGAGCGGCTGGGGGCTGGAGGCTGATTCATAAACTTTTCTCATTCAATAGTTTCTTTTCTCTTGTGCTGTGCGTTGCTGCGGTCGAGTGTGACCTGCTCTGACCGTCTTTTTCCGTGGCCTGATCCTGATAATGAAAACGCCTGTGTTTATATTTAGTGCCAAAAAGGAACGGGCCCTAATTTTCTCTTTTTGGTCTGTGCTAAAATCTGCACAAAGCTGCTGCTTTGTGTGAGGAGGAAGTGTCGAGTTCAGCTGAAACGTCCACAGTGTTTGAGCTCAAACAGCGACTATGGTCTGAAAACTACAACCAGACGGTTCACAGAGTCATTACACAGTAGTACTGTGTAGTACCGTACTGTAGTACTACTGTAGTACACTGACACTGTGTAGTACTGTAGTAGTACTGTAGTACTGTGTAGTACTGTGTGTAGTACTGTAGTACTGTGTAGTACTGTGTAGTACTGTGTAGTACTGTGTGTAGTACTGTGTAGTACTGTGTAGTACTGTGTAGTACTGTGTGTAGTACTGTGTAGTACTGTGTAGTACTGTGTGTAGTACTGTGTAGTACTGTGTAGTACTGTGTAGTACTGTGTAGTACTGTGTAGTACTGTGTAGTACTGTGTAGTACTGTGTAGTACTGTGTAGTACTGTGTAGTACTGTGTAGTACTGTGTAGTACTGTGTAGTACTGTGTAGTACTGTGTAGTACTGTGTAGTACTGTAGTACTGTGTAGTACTGTGTAGTACTGTGTAGTACTGTGTAGTACTGTGTAGTACTAGTACTGTGTAGTACTGTGTAGTACTGTGTAGTACTGTGTAGTACTGTGTAGTACTGTGTAGTACTGTAGTACTGTGTGTATGTAGTACTGTGTAGTACTGTGTAGTACTGTGTAGTACTGTGTAGTACTGTGTAGTACTGTGTAGTATGTAGTACTGTGTAGTACTGTGTAGTACTGTGTAGTACTGTGTAGTACTGTGTACTGTGTAGTACTGTGTAGTACTGTAGTACTGTGTAGTACTGTGTAGTAGTACTGTAGTACTGTGTAGTACTGTGTAGTACTGTGTAGTACTGTGTACTGTGTAGTACTGTAGTACTGTGTAGTACTGTGTAGTACTGTGTAGTACTGTGTAGTACTGTGTAGTACTGTAGTACTGTAGTACTGTGTAGTACTGTGTAGTACTGTAGTACTGTGTAGTACTGTGTAGTACTGTAGTACTGTGTAGTACTGTGTAGTACTGTGTAGTACTGTGTAGTACTGTGTAGTACTGTATGTAGTACTGTGTAGTACTGTGTAGTACTGTACTGTACTGTAGTATACTGTGTACTGTACTGTACAGTAGTACTGTGTACACTGTACTGTGTAGTACTGTGTAGTACTGTGTAGTACTGTAGTACTGTAGTACTGTGTAGTACTGTAGTACTGTGTACTGTACTGTGTGTAGTACTGTACTAGTACTGTTGTAGTACTGTGTAGTACTGTGTAGTACTGTGTAGTACTGTGTAGTATGTAGTACTGTGTAGTACTGTACTACTGTAGTACTGTGTAGTACTGTGTACTGTGTACTGTAGTACTGTGTACTAGTACTGTGTAGTACTGTGTAGTACACTGTGTAGTACTGTAGACTGTGTAGTACTGTGTAGTACTGTGTAGTACTGTAGTACTGTAGTACTGTAGTACTGTAGTACTGTGTAGTACTGTGTAGTACTGTAGTGTGTAGTGTAGTACTGTGTAGTACTGTGTGTGTGTGTAGTACTAGTGTAGTACTGTAGTACTAGTACTGTAGTACTGTGTAGTACTGTGTAGTACTGTGTAGTACTGTGTAGTACTGTGTAGTACTGTAGTACAGTGTGTAGTACAGTACTGTGTACTGTGTAGTGTGTAGTACTGTGTAGTACTGTGTAGTACTGTGTAGTACTGTGTAGTACTGTGTAGTGAGTACAGACAGAGTGGAGGTGAGCTCTTGGTGCAGTTTGAGATGTTCATCTGTCAATCATGTTTCTCTCTTGTGTTTCCAGTACCAGCTCAACGGGCAGATGTCCAGGATGGAGCCCTGTCTCATGGGCAGTACCCCTCGTTTGCACCCGGCACCTGTCGCCCCCCGGTGGCCAGACGTGTCTCCGGTGAACAGCTGTTACTCCAGCCCACCTATGCATTCTTCACGCTACGCTGCGTCTGGAGACATGTACCCCTCCATCGGCTCCCGCAGGAACACTGAGTACGAACACGCACAACACTTCCCAGGATTTGCCTACATCAACGGAGAAGCCACGACCGGCTGGGCCAAATGACCGCGACCCGCCGGGCCGAATGACCGCGACCCGCCGGGCCGAATGACCGCGACCCGCCGGGCCGAATGACCGCGACCCGCCGGGCCGAATGACCGCGACCCGCCGGGCCGAATGACCACTGGACTTCAGCAGAAGAAGAATAAAGCCGAGTGAAGCAGGAGTGTGGTGGACACGAGCACGAGCTCGATCAGGAAAGATGAAATGAACAAAAATATGACTTTAATGATTTTTGGACCAATTAAATAAATGATAAAGATCGTCCAAACCTGCAGCAAAGAGAGAGAAGAACTGCTGCTGCCGAGATGTGCCTTTGAGTTTCAGAATGTCCCTGTGAGACCACAGACCGCAGACCACAGACGACAGACCAGATACCACAGACCGCAGACCACAGACCAGATACTGTAGACCACAGACCAGATACCACAGACCGCAGACGACAGACCGCAGACCACAGACGACAGACCAGATACCACAGACCGCAGACCACAGACGACAGACCAGATACCACAGACCGCAGACCACAGACCAGATACTGTAGACCACAGACCAGATACCACAGACCGCAGACGACAGACCAGATACTGTAGACCACAGACCGCAGACCAGATACCACAGACCGCAGACCAGATACTGTAGACCACAGACCAGATACCACAGACCGCAGACGACAGACCAGATACTGTAGACCACAGACCGCAGACCAGATACCACAGACCACAGACCGCAGACCAGATACCACAGACCGCAGACCACAGACCAGATACTGTAGACCACAGACCAGATACCACAGACCGCAGACGACAGACCGCAGACCACAGACCAGATACCGTAGACCACAGACCGCAGACCAGATACCACAGACCGCAGACCACAGACCAGATACCGTAGACCACAGACCGCAGACCACAGACCAGATACCGTAGACCACAGACCGCAGACCAGATACCGTAGACCACAGACCAGATACCACAGACCGCAGACCACAGACCAGATACCACAGACCGCAGACGACAGACCGCAGACCACAGACCAGATACCACAGACCGCAGACCAGATACGACAGACCACAGACCGCAAACCAGATACTGTAGACCACAGACCGCAGACCAGATACCACAGACCGCAGACCACAGACCGCAGACCACAGACCAGATACTGTAGACCACAGACCAGATACCACAGACCGCAGACGACAGACTGCAGACCACATACCGTAGACCGCAGACCAGATACCACAGACCGCAGACCACAGACCAGATACCACAGACCGCAGACGACAGACCGCAGACCACAGACCAGATACCGTAGACCACAGACTGCAGACCACAGACCAGATACCGCAGACCACAGACCAGATACTGTAGACCACAGACCAGATACCACAGACCGCAGACGACAGACCAGATACCGTAGACCACAGACCGCAAACCACAGACCAGATACCACAGACCGCAGACGACAGACTGCAGACCACATACCGTAGACCAGATACCACAGACCGCAGACCAGATACCACAGACCGCAGACGACAGACCGCAGACCACAGACCAGATACTGTAGACCACAGACCGCAGACCACAGACCAGATACCGTAGACCACAGACCAGATACCACAGACCGCAGACCACAGACCAGATACCACAGACCGCAGACCACAGACCACATACCACAGACCGCAGATGACAGACCACAGACCAGATACCACAGACCGCAGACCAGATACCACAGACCGCAGACCACAGACCGCAGACGACAGACCAGATACCGTAGACCGCAGACCACAGACCGCAGACCACAGACAACAGTCCTGACTGTGGTCCTGCCCACAGACCGCGGCGTTGGTCCCAGTGCAGCTCTCGGGTGGTGTGGTCTTGTCTTGTCTTGTTTTCTCTGTTTGACGTCATCACTGTTGTTGTTTATATAAATATCTATAACTTTAACAGTATATACATATATAGTATGTATTTTGTGTAACTTTGTATGTTTTTATGGCTAGTGAAAGATGCACTAACTTAGGGTTGTGTGTTTTTACGATGCATTCAGATCTGAGGACCTATTACCCTATGGGTATTTGTAAAAAAAAACAACAAAAAAATGAAAATTATACATATGTACAGTATGATGAAGTCTTTGTAAATAAAACTGTCTTTTTGAGTGTTGAACTGATGTGTGCGATGGAAGAAAATCCAGACTGGTCCAGTGTTGTGTTTCCGTTATAATCTGTATATCTACTTTCTTTTAAGGTAAAGGCTTTTAGACGTGCCCTAATTTTATTTATTACAATAAACCTGAGATCTCACCAATGACACGCTTTCCTTTTTCATTTGGAAACGCAGATTCTCCAGAGCTTCTGTGTGACCATCACCATCTTCTCTGAGCCCCTGGTGTTTCTTCAGTTTCTCGTGTTCCTTTTTCCTGATGTTTCATCTCTTGGTATTTCCCTGTCCAGCTCCACGGTTTTGTTCTGTTCTTCTCCAGCTCCACCAGGTCTGGTCGGTCCATCACTCTTCTGTCAGTCTGTATGTGAATGTCCCACAGGATCTTGGCTCGGTCGTTCTCCACGACCTTTAGAGGTGTTTTCCACCTTGAGGTCTCCAGCCCGTCGTACTCTGCACATGTTTCTGTGAAGGAGCTTCATGTGTGAACATCCTGCAGCTTCTGACTCCTGCAGCTCTGTGCTGGAGTGTGTCAGGGGCCTCTGTACACAGCCTGCACATACTTACCTACAGCATCTATGTATCTATGTGTCTGTGTGTCTGTGTTTATTCACACAGTGTCTGGTCCGTTCACACACAGTGTCTGGTCCGTGCACACACGGTCTCTGGTCTGTGCACACACGGTCTCTGGTCCGTTCACACACAGCTCTCAGAATAACAGATAAATCTCCAAACCTCCTGCAGTCGTTCTCAACACAATCACACTGATTTCATCAACGTGTGTCAAGTGTCTCAGTGGACCTTTGCACATGTTTCTGTACAAGTCGCCTACAGTTTGTACAATGAGCCACGTTTAGCAGATTTTACAACATTTGATAAATTCATGACAGTCATCGTCAGTCAGGTGAAATTAGAACTTCACACTTTCACACTATGTGACTGTGTGGGACAGTGTGAACTTCCACTGTCAGGGTCTGGTTCACTCTCCATCTAAAGATGTTCATGGAGCTACTTCCACCGAACTCTCCTTTCCTCAATCTGACTCACGAGGTTTTATTTCCACTTGGAGGTGGAGAGTTTATGAACATCGAGCTCCAGACCAGAGGCTCCGTGAACACTGTGTGTGACTGTGACTGTGTGTGACTGTGACTGTGTGTGACTGTGACTGTGTGTGTGACTGTGTGTGTGTGTGACTGTGTGTGTGAGACTAAGTGTGTGTGTGTGTGAGACTGTGTGTGTGTGAGACTGTGTGTGTGTGACTGTGTGTGTGTGTGACTGTGTGTGTGTGTGTGTGTGTGTGTGACTGTGTGTGTGACTGTGTGTGACTGTGTGTGTGTGTGACTGTGTGTGACTGTGTGTGTGTGACTGTGTGTGTGTGTGACTGTGTGTGTGTGACTGTGTGTGTGTGTGACTGTGTGTGACTGTGTGTGTGACTGTGTGTGACTGTGTGTGTGTGATGTGTGTGTGTGTGTGTGTGACTGTGTTGAGTGTGTGTGTGTGTGTGACTGTGTGTGTGTGTGACTGTGTGTGTGTGTGACTGTGTGTGTGTGACTGTGTGTGTGTGTGTGTGTGACTGTGTGTGTGTGACTGTGTGTGTGTGTGTGTGTGTGACTGTGTGTGTGTGACTGTGTGTGTGTGACTGTGTGTGTGTGACTGTGTGTGTGTGTGTGTGACTGTGTGTGTGTGTCTGTGTGTGACTGTGTGTGAGTGTGTGTGTGACTGTGTGTGTGATGACTGTGTGTGACTGTGTGTGTGTGTGACTGTGTGTGTGTGTGACTGTGTGTGTGTGACTGTGTGTGTGTGTGTGTGTGTGACTGTGTGTGTGACTGTGTGTGACTGTGTGTGTGTGTGACTGTGTGTGTGTGTGTGTGTGACTGTGTGTGTGTGACTGTGTGTGTGTGTGACTGTGTGTGTGTGTGTGTGTGTGTGTGACTGTGTGTGTGTGTGTGTGACTGTGTGTGTGTGACTGTGTGTGTGTGACTGTGTGTGTGACTGTGTGTGTGTGACTGTGTGTGTGTGACTGTGTGTGTGTGACTGTGTGTGTGTGTGACTGTGTGTGTGTGACTGTGTGTGTGTGTCTGTGTGTGACTGTGTGTGAAACTGTGTGTGTAACTGTGTGTGTAACTGTGTGTGTGTGACTGTGTGTGTGTGACTGTGTGTGTGTGTCTGTGTGTGTGTGACTGTGTGTGAGTGTGTGTGACTGTGTGTGTGACTGTGTGTGTGTGACTGTGTGTGTGTGAACAGGTTTGTTAGAGACATGAGCTTTTGCTGGTGACCTGTATTATTAATAATTAATATATGTTTCTCCAATTTATGTCTTTCTTTTTAAAATTTTAATCTTCATCTTCATCTTCACTTTAATCTTCTTATTTATGTTTTGATTTGTTTTTATTATGATTTTAATGTATTTCTTATTCTGTAAAGCACTTTGAATTACTTTGTGTACGAATTGTGCTGTACAAATAAACTTGCCTTGCCTAATTATAATTATGTATGTAATGTATAATTAATACTACTACTACTACTAATAATAATAATAATAATAGTAATAATAATAATAATAATAATAATAATAATAATAATAATAATAATAATAATAATAATAATAATAGTTCCGGTGGAGTCACGTGTGTTTGTGCGTCAGAGCTGCGCAGGTCTCGCGCTGTGGATTTATAATAAACATTTTTATTGATGAAACTTTTATGAGAGTTTTACGGCACAAAGCGCACATCTGTCATCAACAGGAGATAATCCGGCACACTCGACATGTTTATGGTTGTGACAGAAGAGGAAGGCCCAAGAGCACAAGGGCAGCGCTGAGGAAGAGGAGGAGCTCAGTCCGGACCCGGAGCCCGGAGCCCGAGCACAAACCCGAGCACAAAGCCGCTCTTTTCACCATGGATCTGACTCACATGTTGTCTGAGATCGACGGAGGAAACGATGATGAAATCGAAGCTCTTCTGCAGCGGTTTAACCGCGAGGTGAGTCCAGCTCCAAAACAACCAAAACAACCAAAACAAACACCGAGCGAACGAGCCTAGCACCGCTAGCATGCTAGGCTAGCTGCCGTCAAACTAAATCAACAATGTTCACACCGACGTGAATATGAGAGAAATATGAGAGAAATATGAGAGAAATATGAGAGAAATATGAGAGAAATCAGAGCGCAGACCCCGAGCTCCCGTAGGCACAACTTTATCTTTAAATAATCTCATGGGTTTGTTCATGTAGCTGAACAGGAGCTACGAGCATCAAACACAACCCGATTAACCGGTTTATACGCCTCACGCACACGCCTCACGCACACGCCTCACGCACACGCCTCACGCACACGCCTCACGCACACGCCTCACGCACACGCCTCACGCACACGCCTCACGCACACGCCTCACGCACGCTCCTGTGCAGGTTCCTCCTGGAGTCATGTTCATGATGTTTGTGTTTCAGAACAGCCGAACCTTCATGTTCGAGCAGAAGGAGGAAGCTCTGCGGACCGTAAGTGTGTTTTTCCTCGTGGGGGGTGGGGGGGGGGGGGGTGTCTGATGGTCACGTGTGTGTGATGTGTGGTTTTGATCAGTGTTTTGTTTTTGCAGAGACTTTGTCAGAGCGCTCTGAGCGTCCTCAGACGTCACGTGCCCTGCAGCTGTCAGAGGACGTGTTTGGAAACGCTGCGCATCATGTCCAGAGACAAGCGCGTCCTGTCGCCCGTAGCAACCAGAGAGGGGATGCTGACGCTGACGGCTATGGCGAGGCTGAGCGCGGGAGCGGACGCCGAGATCGGCCTCGGCGACGCTCTGTCGGAGGAGGAGGAGACGGTGGTGGTGGAGGCCTTAAAATGTTTATGTAACGTGGTGTTCAACAGCCCCGCGGCGCAGCAGGTGAGTGTGGACGTGCAGCTGGCTCCCGCCCTTTGTGCCAAACTGCACGGCGCCCACACGTGGCACCACGAGGTGGGTTTGTTCACACTGCGCCTCCTTTTCCTGCTGTCTGCGCTTCGACCTGATCTGAGAATGTGCCTCAGAAAAGACTGTGGAGCCGTGACTCTGCTCACCAAGATGCTGGAGCACACGCTGGACGTTCAGTGGGTGGGTCCCTGTGAAGTGGGACGCCCAGACCCACAGGCCCCGCCCATTCCTGCAGAGAGCAACGAGAGGGTCATGGAGGCGCTCAAAGCCCTCTTTAACCTCACACTCAATGATCCAGATGGGGAGGTGAGTTTGGTCTGTAAATATTAGATCTTTGGAATATTTTACACCGTATGGAAAGAACAAAGCACTAACATGGTGGTAAAGGAAAGTCCATTTACTGTCCAGCTCAGGGCAGATCCTCACGAGCTTCTAGTGCCACTTCAAAATGCCCACACTTAATCTTGATTTTGTGATTGTTCTTTTGAACTGAGGTGGATGCAGGACTGAAAGTCTCACTGTAAGTTCTTAATGTTTGTATTATTCCTGTAGTGGATTTAAACCCTGTGGTGTTTAGAAAGAGGTGTGTGTGGTGACTCACAGCTGCTGTCGTGTTTTACAAACATCTGCAGAACCTGACGCTCTTGGTTTAAAGCAGTTTTCTTCACAGGAGGATGAGCAGCAGTTCAGAGTTATCGTGGGCCTCCTGCGTCACCTGTTAATGTTGAAAACTGAAACGGTGGAAAAAACAGAAGAGGTGCACAGGTGAGTCTGGATAAACACAGAGCCTCATTTTTATTCAAATGAAAGATCACAGTGAACACAAGACATTTACACTTTTTACACTTTTATTAAAATATATTTGTGACGGGAGGGAGGGCATCTGACGCACTCGGGCGTTTCAAAACATGTTTACTCACCATGTTTACAGCGTTTGCGTCTTATTGTCACTGAGTGTTAATTCAGTGCAAGAATGTTTGGAATCTGAGCCACTGCGTGAGATTTAAACGGTGTCGCGTAAAAGTGAGTGATGGTCCTGTCGACCCGACTCACCCGCCCGACCCGTCACGCCGATTAAGACTATTGTTCAAAAGAAAGAGAAGGAACGAATAAAGACACACATTAAATTCAGATAGAAAAGACTGCAGGGAAATTACCTCATTTACTTGCATTTTACTACTACTACTCCTACTACTGCTGCTACTACTACTACTACTACTACTCCTCCTACTGCTACTACTCCTACTCCTCCTGCTCCTACTGCTACTGCTGCTGCTGCTACTACTACTACTACTACTCCTCCTACTGCTACTACTACTGCTACTACTACTACTACTCCTCCTACTGCTACTACTCCTACTACTGCTACTACTCCTACTCCTCCTGCTCCTACTGCTACTGCTGCTGCTACTACTACTACTACTACTACTACTACTACTACTCCTCCTACTGCTACTACTCTCTACTACTGCTACTACTACTACTACTACTCCTACTACTGCTACTACTCCTACTACTGCTACTCCTACTGCTACTACTGCTACTACTACTACTACTCCTACTACTGCTACTACTCCTACTCCTACTGCTACCTACTGCTACTGCTACTACTACTACTACTACTACTACTACTACTACTACTCCTACTCCTACTCCTCCTACTGCTGCTACTACTACTACTACTACTACTACTACTCCTCCTACTGCTGCTACTACTACTACTACTACTACTACTCCTACTCCTCCTACTGCTGCTACTACTACTACTACTACTACTACTACTCCTACTCCTGCTACTGCTAACTTCTTCTAGTACAACACACTAATAAATGTAGAATTTTGTTTATACAGTGATTTTCCACCTTCAAGGCTCAAAGTGCTTTACATCAAGGAAACACACTCACACTCACACACACACTCTTGCACGCACACGCACGCTCACACACGCACACGCACACGCACACACACACACACACACACACACACACACACACACACACACACACACACACACACACACACACACACACACACACACACACACACACACACACACACAGACACACACTCCAGTGTTCACAGACACTGGGGGGGAGAACTTGAATTATATTTATATTTTTCTGTTGCTTTGGAACATTTTCTGAATCAAATCAATATAAATAAATAAACTATATTATTATTCACATATTGAAATAGAGTGTGGACACTGTGGATCTTGCCCTGTTCTTTGTAATCTAAACGTGTGTTGTTTGTTCTGCTCGTAGTCACGCGGTGAACCTGTTGAATAACCTGCCCGTGGCCTGTCTGGATGTGCTGGTCGACCTGCCGGTTCAAGGAGGAGCAGACAGTTACAACGGGAAGAACCTGGAGGCCGTGCAGGTCCTTCTAGACTTCATGGAAAAACGCATCGACAGAGTGAGTTTCACAGTTCACTCTTTCACTTGTAAAGACGATCGCTACACAACGTCAAGGCTCCTTTGACTCTCACTTATATCAAACAGATGTGTACATGTGTGGACACTAGGGACGAGCATTCAATGAAATATTCTTAATCTATCATCGGGAGAATTAACGATCGATTAATCATTAACATTTTTATATTAAAATGATCATCATTATTATTACTATCTGCACTAATCTGCATAAATAAATTCAACTTTACCACATATAAACATAACGACTCTAGATCCACATCAGCTGTTTGACATTATAATGTGTTTAATTCAGTTTTGTTCAAATCTCACAGAAACAAAACTTAAAACCACATCACTAATTTACATAAACTAAGTGAAGATAAAACTCCAGCTCTTGTGTCGCTGATGTGGTTCAACTTGTGTTGGATTAAAAGACATGACTCAGGTGAATACAGGTCAGTGTGACCAGATTTGTGTTTGTCAAAACCAGGACAGCGTACGGGGGGAGGGGGGCGGGGCCTCGTCATCCACATTGAGCGACTCTCACCTGGAAAAACTTTTTTCCCACTGGACACAGAAACATATGTGCTGCTTTATCCACTGTGCACATGGACTCACACTTGTCCCAACGCAACGGAAAGTGTGGAATTTCTTCTACAAATCCTGGTTAAATCCACATTTGTGCTTCGGTTCGTTACAGACTGACCCACTGTTTGTGTCTCGCTCCTTCTGATGCAGAGACACATGTACACACCTGTTTGGTCACGACACACAAACATACATTCGGTTTGTCCATTAAAATGAACGTAATCCATGAAATTCTTAATGATCAATTATCGATTAATCGACTAATCATGCCCATCCCTAGTGGACATACCAGTGCTTTAACTGTACCTGCGTGTTCCTCAACAGTTCTTTTTTCAGTGCCTGTATTTTATTTTTTTTATGTAAATGAATTGACCAATATTATTAAGAAAATACTACCATATTTTGAGCACTATAGAGCGCTCTGGATTATGAGGCGCACTGTCATTTTCGAACTTTTTTCCCAAATAAACCGTGTGGGACTTTAAATGAAACACAACAGTGTGATGTGTGAGTGGTTTTGTTTGTTTGTTCGTTCACGGTGACTCTGGGCTTTGTTCAGTTGTGGCGTGTAGGGAGTAGTGTCTGTCGCTGGATTGTCGGCGTGTTCGCAGTGACTCAGTTGTTCAGTCGTGTCTAGAAGCGGCACGTCGCGCTCGTGGCTTTTTCGGGTCGTTCCTCCGTTCCGTTCCTCACATTTTTAGCTCTTTTTATTGTTTTGTAAACGCTATAATCACCTGCAACAACAGATGAACATGTTTTATAAGTTTCTTTTTTGCTGCTAAGTCGCTCCCCCTTCAGAGTGCTATCACAACACAATCACTGTGCTTCCCCTCTGACGAAACTACTGCAGTTTTCTGTCATGTTTTTGTACTATTTATGGAAAATTTTCATGTTTATTGTCGTATTTATGGAGAAATCTCGTACAGAGAGATCGCTAGATTACTCAAACACACGTGGATGTCTCTAAAATCTCTTCAGACAGTTTTTTTTAGACGATGGAACGTTAAAACATGAGAGAAAGCTCCAAAAATATACCCCCTCTTTAAGCACAGTTTTCCATTCATCTCGACAGAAATTCTAATCTCGGTAAACGGCATTTCAGTTTTGTCCGTCGTTATCAGTCATTTTTTACATTTTAAAACTTTCGTGTAGGGAGTGTGCTGTCTGGGACCAACGGATTGTCGGTGTGTTCGCAGTGACTCAGTTGTTCAGTCGTGTCTTGAAGCGGCACGTTGGACTCGTAGCTTTTTCGGTTCGTTCCTCCGTTCCGTTCCTCGTGGAGTGCTGAGTGTGTGTGTGGGTGTGTTTTGCTGTGTGGTCGCTGTCTGCTCTGTGTGTGTTTGTGTGTTCTGTGGGTGTTTGTGGTTTACTGAAGTCGTGCTGGGACACCCGAGTGGATTCGTGTATGGGGCGTCTGGATTGTGGCGCGCGGTCGTTTTTTTGGGGTTGGAGGCTTTTGAGCGCGACCTATAGTGCGGAAAATACGGTATTCAATCACATTACAACTACATTAATTAATATTTTAAACAAAGTTGGTTCTGTACGATGTTGAGTTTAGAGCTGCGTCGACCTGGAGAACACGTCGTCCCCTTTAGAGCCGAGTCTTTAAACAATGTGTGTTTTAATATTATGAATAAAACTCATCATGATGATTTGTACAAAAGCATCATTGATGAAAACTAATATTCAGTATTGAATAAAGAAACTGTATTTCTAAATGTCTCATGTGATCGTCAGGGCTCCAACTACAAAGAAGGTCTCACTCCAGTCCTCTGCCTTTTGACCGAAGCCTCCAGACACCACAGGGAGATCCGCAGATACCTCAAAGCTCAGGTACGTCTGCGTGATCAGATACTTTCAGCCTTTCTTCCATTGTGTCTCTGTTTTATATCATTTTATTCAATAATAATTCATGATCATCTCTTTAAAATAGGATTTAACAACATCAAGAATCCGTGCGTCATTCGTTGATTCGTTTTTCAATATAAAACCAAAAATAAGAAAACGAAAAAACAACAGTTTTCTTCATTATTTGTCTCCAAAACCAAAATGAAAAAACCCTAACCCTAAAACTCTGAGCTTTGACTCTGAGCCTCCGCGGGGTCTGAGCCTCAGCTTCAAGCTCCGGCCCTGCTGTGAGCTCTGAGCCTCCGGTCTGGTCTCGGTCTCTGTCTGGTCCCGCTCTGGTCTCGGTCTGGTCCCGCTCTGGTCCCGGTCTCAGTCTCGGTCTGGTCCTGGTCTCAGTCTCGGTCCCGTTCTCGGTCTCAGTCTCGGTCTGGTCCTGGTCTCAGTCTCGGTCTGGTCCCGGTCTGGTCTCGTTCTCAGTCCCAGTCTGGTCTCAGTCTCGGTCTGGTCCCGGACCTGGATCAGTCCTGGTTCAGTCCGTACGTGGTGCAAAAGTTCGTCATCACAGTCACAGAAGTCACGTAAACGGGAAACGGTCGTTATCCGTTTTTTTCCATTTTTCATTTAAACACAAAATCAAAAACTGAAAAAACAAATCATTTTCTGTTTTTTCATTTTGGTTTTGGAGACAAATAATGAAGAAAATAGTTGTTTTTTCGTTTTCTTATTATTTTTTTTATTGAAAAACGAATGAACGAATGATACACGGATTATCAAGGCCCAGTCTCAGTTCTCTTTCAAAATGACGACTGAAAAACACATTTGTGAACATTTGTCAAAACGATGAACATTTAAAACAACAACAGTTGATCCGTCACTGTAGCCAAAAAAAAAAGACGCTTTGTTTGTGACACGTGTGTATGTTCTGTTCTTCTGACTATGTTGTGTTCACAATAATCCTGATTGTTCTTTAACCTGTTCGTCTGTGGTTTGTCTATGGTTTGTTTGTGGTTTGTCTGTGGTTCGTGTGTGATTCGTCTGTTGTTCTTGTGGTTCGTCTGCGGCTCTTCTGCGGCTCTTCTGCGGCTCGTCTGCGGTTCGTCTGTGGTTCGTCTGCGGCTCGTCTGTGGTTCATCTGCGGCTCGTCTGTGGTTCCTGCAGGTGCTTCCACCGCTGAAGAACCTGAAGGTGAAGCCTGAGGTGGGGAACAGCATCAGAAACAAACTGGTCCGTCTCATGACTCACGTGGACCTCGGGGTGAAGCACTCGGCAGCAGAGTTTCTGTTTGTGCTCTGCAAAGAAAAGGGTTTGTGATTCTACTTTTACTTTTGAAACCGAACAAACCACAACCTGCTACAAATAATATATTCAAATGTGTAATTTAACTCTAGTCTTTAAAATTATCTCTAGTCCTTTATTTATTTACTTATTTATTTATTTAGACCAGGATAGTCCCGCTGAGATTAAGAATCATTTTCAGGGGGTCCTGTTGTACATGTTTGTATTTCATTCACAAAACTAAAGGTTCATTGTGAAACTTTTCTGGTGGAGGATCTGAAACCTGTTGGTCTCCATGGAGATGTACCTGGAATATTCTTCAGAAAACCATAAAATCTATAAATTTCCCTGGACACAAGTCGTTGATTCCACCAAAATAATTTCAGGAAATGAAAAGTAATTGAGTAGTTGAATAAATGAAAGCTGGATTTGTTTAATGCTCTACTCTGGAACATTCCAGGCAACGCAGTAACATTAAAGGTTGTATGGAGGATATATTTTTTTTTTAGTTTCAAGTTGTCATTGAAAGTTTAAAACACCATTACAGAGACGCAGCAGCTTTGTAATTATGATGACCAAAAAGAAAATAATGAAAATCTATCCACTGTGGACGTAGTGAGGCCAGATAAACATGAGCCAATAGAAAACAAGGCTACCTCTTTATCTATTGGCTGTTAGGTTGTCAATCAAACTCCCTACATGTGGGGATTACGTGCTTTATGCAGCGGTTCTTAGAGGCTTTTTCAAACTGTAGCTTCCTCGCAGTTCGCACAAAGTTTGTCGCGACGGCGGACGAGAATCCACGACCAGTTCGCCGCAAAAGAAAGTCGGTTTTTGAGGTCGCTGAAAGAAGAAGAGAAGGAGCAAAGACAAACTGAGGTGATTCTTGGAGAGTTCTTCCAGCGATGGCGCGACTGAAGCGGACGAAGGGTCTAAAGACTGAAGACGCGTCGGTCACTAAAATATTTCTAGACAGGAAACTTCAACAGTGATTCTGAACGTGCACTGGATGTAAACAAACGTGATTTCTAGAGTAAAGCGGCGGGAGGAGGAGATGTTTCTACTGAGGTGGTGTCACGTGTGCACAGCATTTGAAAAAGGACGGTCGCTCTATTTCACTTCCCTTAAAAAATCCTCTGTACAACCTTTAAATGGAACAAGCAGGTGATGGAAAAACCCCAAGTCTGAACATTTTGTTTTGTAGTAAAAACTTGAGACATGGTTTAATCTTTATTGTCTCTATAAAAATCCTGCTCATAACATTGATCGAGTTTTAAACACTAAACCTATAATATTAATAATGTCTCTTAATAGTAAAGTGTTCCTCCTCAGACGGTGCAGTATCGTGTGGGTCATTTGTGGCGTGTTGTGTCTGCAGTGGCGTCGCTGTTGAAGTACACGGGCTACGGGAACGCGGCCGGGTTACTGATGGCGCGAGGTCTGCTGGACGGAGGACAGGGAGAGACGCAGTACTCTGAAGGAGAAGACTCGGACACAGAAGAGTACAAATCTGCCACCAAGTGAATCTCCTACACAACTTTACCCCCGTGTTTCCGCTCTTCTTTTGTGGGGGAGAATTCTCATGTTTTTCTGTTTCAGTTTTGATGTGATGAGCGGCTGCGTCGAGGAGCCGCGGCCAAACCCCATCGAGGAGATGACGGAGGAGCAGAAGGAGTACGAGGCAGACAAACTCATCAAGATCATCAACGAGATGAAAAGGTAAAACTACAAACATAGAAAAGTGCTACTGTCTGTAAAGTTTCACCACACTAAAACTAAGGGACAGACTCGATACTCGATACTGATACTCATAATAAAATCCCCTTTTTGTGATTTAAACTGGTTTATTATCTGTTTGGTTGTTTTTATTTCTGTTTATTTAAAGGTGACAAAATGTAACACTTTTATCCCTGTCACAGTGAACCTCATTCTTGTTTTACTTAGACTTTTTTTTTTAATCATGTTGTTAAAAAATCTCCATAGGCTGTAAAGAAATGGACTGAGTGGGTGAGATCCACAGCGGTCGGTTCTTTTCATAAAAGTCGACTGTTTGGACTCTGAACTTTAACTTGTGACAGGATTTTGTTTTCACAAATTTCTTTTATTAAGGAAATATGAGTTTTTCCAACAAAACTGAGTGTGACCTCGTCCCTCTGGAGCCGCTCTCCTCGTTCAGATTCATACTCTGCATTGTCTCCTCTACAAAGGCCCCTCCTTATTTGCGTTGACCTTTTGCTTTGAGAGCGCGGTCGCACACGATGCCCCTACAAAGGTAACACTGCGCCCGCTCCATGCCAACCGATTCATCAAAAGAAGAATCTGAAGCTGTTAGCTTCAATTAGACTCCGCCACAGCACCAGCGTCATTACAGACGCTTTGTTAATTACCACCTGAGCTTTTCATAATGCGTCTGATTTTATTTTGCCTTTTGTAAGACGCCATTGTCCGACAGAGGACATGCTACAGACACGCTAAACAAAGATTAGGGTTTGGAGAGACGGCGTGAGAGCGCCCACCTCCACCACGAGCTCAGGATCAGTTTAATGAGGCACATCTGAGAGCGGAATCCTCTTTTTCTTCTCCTGGATTGGTTCAGTGCTGCACTGTGGAACATTCCAAAGCAAAAACATCATGATTAGACGAGCAGGTGTGTGACTTAAAGGTGCAGCAAGAGGCTGGACATTTACCTTTAATAAACATTGAATCTGTATTTTTTATACAGTTTTATATTTCTCATTACTCATTACGTGTGACGTTTGGAACATTAAACATAAACCGGACACTTTCTCTTCAGGGATCTGGAGGTGGATTTTGTACCTGTGAGAAGTATTAGTACAAAATAAAGTATTACAGAAGAAGAAGGAGAAGATGTGCAGGACACACGCTGCACAAAGAGCCCAACGTTTGGACACAAGAGCGAGTCTTTGTGGAAGAGGACGAGAGGTTTAATGAGGCACATGCTCCGAGGAGAAGGGCAGAATTCCTCCTCCTCTTTTCTTCTGTTCGTCCTGTAAAAGACGATGTGCTGCTTCCACTGAACGAGCGCCAAGGAAACCACCAGAGTCTCACAGGAATGTGCCGGGCTCACCGCGCCACTCCTGCTCCAATTAGTAAATACTCTGCAGCGCCCGCCGCCCGCGCCTCTGCCACCGCGCCCATCGCCCACCATGCCCGCGCCTCTGCCACTGCGCCTGCCCGCCGCCCACACCTCTACCACCGCACCCACCGCCCACGCCTCTACAACTGCCCCTGTGCCCGCCACCCACACCTCTACCACTGCGCCCGCGGCCACCGCCCCTGCGCCCGCCACCTGAGCCTCTACCCCTGCGCCCGTGCCCCTCGCGCTCGCCCCGGTGCCAGTCATATTTGTGCTTATCTTCTTTTCACATGAGTTAAGGCCTCAGTCTCTTCTTGTCTAATTCTTCCTGAATCGTGTTTGTGACGCGGTTTCACTTTGTGCCCGCAGACACGACGTGATCCGCCCGATGGTGGTGAGGCCCGACGGGCGCCTGGGGCCTCTGGAGGAGAAACTGCACGAGCCGATTGAAGACGACCCAGACTCCGACTCGGACTAGAGCCGCAGACTCTGTGCCCGACTACACGGTCTGCACGAGAGCTCCACGTTTAAAACCACTGTTACGCTGGAAACGACACGAGCAGAGTTCACTTTCTCACGAGGCTGAAGCGTCACTGTTGTGCTTCTCACAAACTTTATTAAGGTCAGAAAAAGAATGTTTCGTGTGCTCTGGTCTTGTGTGCTCTGGTCTTGTGTGCCCTGGGCCTGTGTGCCCTGGGCCTGTGTGCTCTGGTCTTGTTTTGCTCTGGGCCAACACTCGCCCGCCCTCTTTAGTTTGACAGTCAAATTAGACGCCCTTGGAGAAACTCTTTTCTTACTCGAGCTCTGAAATGTTTTACCCACGAATGATTTAAGGGAATTAATCTCAAATGAAGCACATTTTTACTTTGTCATATCTAAACATCATGCCACAGAATTAGAAGTTTACTTTTTGAAACACCATTCCTTTTTCAATTTTATATTGTTATTTAAGTTAAAGTGCACATTAAATATTTATCTGTACAATCAAAGAATACTGTTCTGATGTTTTCTAAAATGGATTTTGACAAATTTTTTTTTTTTCTTCTTAAAGTGAATTTTTTTATTGACACATTTTCTGTGGGTATTTTTAATGCTGCCATTTGAGTCTTGAGTATTTCCTACTTGAAAAACGCAACTTGATAAAAATATGAATTGACCAAATGAGAGTAAAGCTTATAACTAAATAATTTTCTGTAATTTAAAATATATTTAAACTTGCATGTCACTCGTACGTCAGAAACTAAAAACTGTTTTTTCTTTGCACAATGTTTGTATCTGAAGAGTAGTCGACCCAAGTCACTGAAATAAAAAACAAGATGAAATGTGTGGTTTATTTACAAAATCATTTTTTATTAAATATATTTTTATTAAATATGTATAAAAACCGGTGACTTGTGCGTAAAACACGATGTGGTGAAATCCTGCAGGAATAATTGCACTGTTCTAAGTGTTGCATCGAGTCTGATCCACATGAAGTGCTTGTGTGATTTGTGCTTTATAAAGAGGAAACGGAGAAACGAGTGGAGCGCACCGTCTGAAACCCACATGTTGGAGGAAAAACTGCACAGCTTCTAGTCAGTGCCTCAGCTCCGGGTCTGCGGCTCTGACTGTTGGCACAGCGACGTACTGCTCATCTACAAAAAAAAAAACCCAAAACAGTTTCTATTAGTGTCCAGCCACTGCTCCGCAAGTCCACATTATATTATATATATTTTTGTCATTCACTTTATATTGGATTTTCATCTTGTATAGAGGCACATTAAAAATAAAAAACATTCAAATGGTAAAAACAAAACAGTGGGGAGAGGTGTACAGACATAACCACGTCATACAAAGTCGGGGCTTTTTGTTGTTACCTCAACTGTTTTGACCAATAACTTTAAAATATATCACTGTGTAGCTTCATCTTAAATTTAATCCTTTCAATTTTAAAAATATTATACATCAAGTCAATCCATTCATTTATTGTAGATGTTTCCTGTCTGAGCCATTTTTGAGTTTTTCCTTTTTTGGCAGCCTCCAGTAAAACTCTCATTAAGTGTAAATCTGCTTTAGAAAGGTGCGATCAAACTAAATCTCCAAAATACAATATTTTAAAAGGATATTGTATCTTCCGTTTAAAGACGAGCTCCAGTGCCCCGTGAACTGGAGCCACAGAGGGACAACTCCAAAAGATATGAAAATGTTTAGTTTGTACTTGACCACATCACCTCCAACAGCTGCTCTGATCTGAATATTTCGATGTTTGAGTTGGTGAACAGAAATACCGAGTTACATTTTTCCAACAGAACTCCCTCCAGCAGGGGGCGCTGCTGTGTCCAGACTCTGTCCCAGTCCTCAGTTGTAAGAAAGATGTTTCCCTCTGCTTCCCGTCTTGTCTAAGTAAAGATTATCATAGTTCTCGAGATTTTGAACTTATAACTTTGAAATAATTTTTTGATGGGGAGCGTCTTCATATGCACTTAAAAAAATTTCAAGAATATCACTTTTAGTAAACATATATTTATTTTTTATACAAAGTCTGAATCTGGAGACACAGCAGCGTGAGTTCGTCTCTTTAAATGCATCACAGACACTTCAGAGCTTCACTGATCCTGCAGAAATCTGTGACATTTTTCCTTTTTTCCTCGTGAGCAACATATTTGTTTTAATATGGAAAGACCATGTGTGCCTCTGATTGGCTAATCCACCTGTCAATCAAACCCATCTGAACGACGGGAGAGCCACTGGTGACCAGACTCACATCTTTGTAAAAAATGAAGTGTGTGTCGAGCCGCACTCACCAAAACAAAAAGGGAGAATGTAGTTTTTATCAGACGACTGAAGACACTTACTGCAGCTTCTTGTGCTCTCATCATCTCCTCCACGTCTTCATTCCAGCCCAACATCTGAGCAAACCTCCGCACCAGGTCCTCCAGGTCGCCCAGTTCCACGTAGTCCTTTTTCCTCAGAGGGACTTTGGTGAAGGGGCCCACGGGGTCACGGTTCAGGAGCAGACGAGGCACAGAGGGACGGACGGTGTTCACCAAACTGGCAAACGGCTCAATCTGAAGCACAACAACTTGATTTTTATTTTTATTATTTTTGTTTTGATTATTACAGTCAGTCCTCTGTGCTATGAAACTCCAAGAGACACTGGATCAACACTTAAATTTACCTAAAGCTGCACTGTGTACTTTTTCTGCTGAGGGTCCATTTCCGTGACAATTTGCCTTGAATGTTCCAAAGTGTGGCATTATGGCTTGAAATGGCTTGAATAACACGTAACCACAGACCCAGTTTATCATCATGGGTCTGACTCTAGGGTTGATAATTTAGATTCTAGGGTTGATAAGTTTAATTCTAGGATTGCAAATCTAGATTTTAGGGTTGAAAATTTAGATTTTAGGATTGAAAATTTAGATTTTAGGGTTGAAAATTTAGATTTTAGGGTTGAAAATTTAGATTTTAGGGTTGATAATTTAGATTCTAGAGTTGATAAGTTTGATTCTAGGGTTGATAAGTTTGATTTTGGGGTTGATAATTTAGATTTTAGGGTTGATAATTTAGATTTTAGGGTTGATACGTTTGATTCGATGCTGTTAGGGTTGATGAGTTGGATTCTACGTTCTCAATAAACGATCAATAAATTCTGAGCATCCAGAAAAGCTACACAGTGCAGCTTTAATGAGCGGGAAGTGAACGATGCCGACACCTGTAAGGACGTGCCCATGATTAAAAGCAGATCGGCTTTTGGGAAATCTTCAGAATTCAAGAAATATTTCTGTGGAAGATCCTCCCCGAAAAACACGACGTCAGGTTTGACCGCAGCGGCACAGAAGGAGCACGTGGGGACCTGGTCGTTCATGATGGCCTCCTGAAAAATACAAGAACAAGCTCCAAAAAAAAAAGGCTCGAGGTGTGGGATTTCTCTAATAATTATTACATGATGATTGTTTTGTTTGGCTCAGTACCTTGGCCTCGTCAGATGGATACGGCGTGTAGCAGAGATGACACGACGCTGTGGCGAAGGAACCGTGAGCCTCTACAAGTTTGTCCTCTGGGATCCCGCACACTGAAAAAAAAAGAGTCAGTCCTGTTCATCAAGACAAGAGGGTAATTCTGCTGAAGAGTGCTGCTGTTTCAAAATAATTATTAATTCCATGAACGTTTGTCTGTGTTTGTCTGAAAAAAACATCACAGGAGACTGAAAAATATTGTTGATTTCTGCAGAATCAATGAGCGAAACACTAAACTGAAACAAACATCTGATTGGACGGTTGTGTTTGGAGATTTGAAGTGTTCGAAGCGGGTGACATGGTAAAGAAGCTCGTCCCTCAGAAACGTGTGGGGCCGACACGTGTCTTTAGCGCTCTGGATTGTGGCGCACGGTCGTTTTTTGATGCGTTGGAGGCTTAAGAGTGCGACCTATTAGGGTTATAACTTTTTGAACTTTTTTTCCCCAAAATCAAAGTCCTGCATCATGATTGGATGAATTTTTTGATATAATTGAAGAAACCAATCTCCATTTTCAACACTCTTTTTAAAAAATCCCCCCGAAACAAAAAAATATTAAATCCACATTACAGCCAATGATACGAAATGTGAGACTGTGTTAAGTTCTCACAAGGACCATGACAAGTCAATCTGACTGAAAATGGATCAATAATAAGTTGTACTGTCATCATAATAAACTGGAGTTTCACTTTCTATTCTTACTTTCACTTTATAAACCATTCGATTCATCGCTGCAAACTAGGGATGGGCATTCGATGAAATGTTCTTAATCGATCGTCGGAAGAATTAACGATCGATTATCGATTAATGTTTTTATATTAAAATGATCATCATTATTATTACTATCTGCACTAATCTGCATAAATAAATTCAACTTTACGACATATAAACATAACGACTCTAGATCCACATCAGCTGTTTGACATTATAATGTGTTTAATTCAGTTTTGTTCAAATCTCACAGAAACAAAACTTAAAACCACATCACTAATTTACATAAACTAAGTGAAGATAAAACTCCAGCTCTTGTGTCGCTGATGTGGTTCAACTTGTGTTGGATTAAAAGACATGACTCAGGTGAATACAGGTCAGTGTGACCAGATTTGTGTTTTGTCAAAACCAGGACGGCGTACGGGGGAGGGGGGCGGGGCCTCGTCATCCACATTGAGCGACTCTCACCTGGAAAAACTTTTTCCCACTGGACACAGAAACATATGTGCTGCTTTATCCACTGTGCACATGGACTCACACTTGTCCCAACGCAACGGAAAGTGTGGAATTTCTTCTACAAATCCTGGTTAAATCCACATTTGTGCTTCGGTTCGTTACAGACTGACCCACTGTTTGTGTCTCGCTCCTTCTGATGCAGAGACACATGTACACACCTGTTTGGTCACGACACACACACATACATTCAGTTTGTCCATTAAAATGAATGGAATCGATTAAATTCTTAATGATCAATTATCGATTAATCGACTAATCATGCCCAACTCTATTGCAAACCAACACTGACAATCATCATTTTTGGACTTTTAGTTTCCTATTTTATCTGATCTTTACCCTGATCATGTGTTTTGTTCCTGTGTTATTAAAGAGAAAATTGCCTTTGGTTATTTTATGATTGAACAGATATGAACCTTCTAACAGTTTTATTCTGGTTGTTGCTTTACCAAATCTTCATTTTGAGTCCGGGGGAACTTTTTTTCAAAACTATGACCAACTGAAGGTCAATTCCTTTCATTACTAGAAAAAGTTCATCAAAATATGATACAGGGTGTAGAGGCTGTAAAAAAGTTGTAAAAAAAGTGACCTATAGTGTGGAAAATACGGTATTAGTTTTACCAAGCAGCACTTTGCATTTATTTTATTTTCCTGTTTGTGTTAAAGTTAAAACAAATGGTTGGTTTAATAAAAACACAAACAAACAACAAGCAAATGGTTTTGTTCCCAAACTGTACCAAAAATGAACCGAACCGTGACCTCAAAACCGACTTTTGTACCGTTACACCCCTAATAATCCCTCAGTGGTCCAGGGGCGTAGACTAGAATTAAACAGAAGTACAAAGCAGTGATTATAGAAAACTGCAATCAGAGCGTCTCAGTTAAAGGCACTGTACCAGAAAGTTCATCAAACTGAAGTGTGGCACAGTTGAAGCGTTTTCACTCACATTTTTCGAGCCCGTCTATGTTCTGCGTGTACGTCCGGAGCAGGAGGCCCTTTTGGTGGAGCGTTCGGATGAAGTAGTGGATGTAGTTTGGCCGGTGGTTGCCTGGATACAGCGATTTGGCCAGTGAGAAGAAAGGCAGCGGGTCGTTGGTGAAGAAGTCGATGTTGAAAATGGATTCGGGATACGGGACGTTGTACTTCTCCAGGTTGGCGTACAGACCTGTTCCTGGAGTTCTGAAGAAAAGAACAAAATAAACATTCATTCTACGGATGTGACGTTTAAAATATATAACGATGTTGTTTAGAAGAGAGACTTGCAGATCCACAGGTAAACGTGTCGTAGTATTGATACTTTGCAGCTGATGTCATCAATATTCCCTGGGCTGTGATGCTAACTGGAAGCACTGCTGTCAGAAGCTCTATTTCTCAAATTAGACTTTAGTCTGTTTTATTTTAACACAATCTGAACAATTAACCAGCAGGTGTCACTTTCACCTTTTAGTGTCAAATCAAACTCCTGAACAGGACCGTGACGCTCTGACAACAGGAACAGGAAAACGTGGTTTTTAAATCACTTTTGCTTTCAGACGATGTTAAAACTTTTGTCAGTGTTTGTTAATGTTTGCAGTGTGTCTCCATGGGAACTGCTGAACATTCCACCACACTCATACATGTACAACACCCCCAGTGTGATGCCACTGGAGATAATCATTTGGCACAGTTTTTGGTGGAGGACGGGTTAGTGGTGATAAGTTTGATTCAAGGATTGATGAGTTCGATTCGAGGGTCGATGAGTTCGATTCGAGGGTCGACGAGTTCGATTCGAGGGTCGACGAGTTCGATTCGAGGGTCGACGAGTTCGATTCGAGAGTCGACGAGTTCGATTCGAGGGTCGACGAGTTCGATTCGAGGGTGTTAGGGTTGATGGGTTTGATTCTATGTTCTCAAACGTGCCACAACTATTTCAGGATTTTATCTGACATAATCAATGAAATGTGTAGTTAAGACCTTCCTAAAAGTGATTCTGAATTATTTTTAAACGAATTCTGTAGCTTTCTAAGTTTCTTGTGTTGCGCTGATTACAAATTCTGTTCATGGCAGGTCAGGAAATAATTAATATTTCTTCCCAAATCAATAAATCTACAGACTTACAGATGCTATGGGATTTAAATTACAGTTTCTGCAAGCAAATGAGGATTATATTGATGTAACATACTGAAAAAACGTGTACCACTTCGGGAAAATCAGTAAAATGTCAGGAGAGAATGTTACGCTCGAGTCGGTATCTGTTAGAGTTGATAGGTTTGATTTTAAGTCCTGAATCCACCTCAGTGATTTATCAAGTCTCTGTGCTACTGTCGTCCAGGTCAGTGAAGAATACCACCATTATAAATAGCAATTTGTGTAGAAAATCTAAATTTAATTACAAAACTAACTACAATTTTAACTTCAACACTAAACTCTGAAACCCACACTTCAATATTATGAATGATAATTACTGAACATTTGCTCACCGGAAGTCTGGGATTCCACTGGCCGTGCTGATTCCCGCTCCAGTCACCACCACGATGTTTTTACAGCGTCCCAGCTTCATCAGACGCACGACTGCTGCCAGCCACCGCCGCCGCCGCCGCCGCCGCCGCCACCGCCGCCACCGCCGCCACCGCCGCCACCGCCGCCACCACCGCCACCACCGCCACCACCCACTGGCCCCAGACCCGAGCTGTGATGGCACCGGTCGCCAAGGTCTGGACGACTGATTCTGGAGGAAAGAAGAACCAGCAGATAATCATTTCATACAGTGTGTGGTTCAAAGATTTAAAAGCTGTGGAACCATGGACTGGTAACTTGGCAACGAGGTGTGTTTGTGTGTTTGGACATGGAGAAGTTTAATGCCATACTGTGGAACATCTGAACATTAACATCTCTACAGAGACAAACAGGGGCAAAAATAGACTTAAAGTACCTATCTCATGCAAAATCATATTTTCAGAGCGTTTTACCTTCTCAGAGTGATGTGTGGGCCTTGGGTTTGTTGCTGAAGTGGTTTTTAGATTGATTTGGCTTTTTGTTTTTGTTTTTTAAACAAATTGCAGCGTATTTGTGCCTCCCTCCCACGTGACAACGAACTAAAGCTGCTACAACGATGACGCGGCAGATTCACCTATGGCGCTTTTGACGTAGCAGAAAGAGCTTCACAACCGACCCCCTCCCCACATCGTCTGACAGTTCCCACATGAACCTAAACAAAAGCGACATCAGAAGCTCATTGTTCTACTCTGCAGTGAACATGATATAATAAGTTGATCTCGTGTTTATTAAAACTTTATCAATCAGTAATGTTCAGTTGATGTGGACTCGGTGCTTGAGCTTCGTGCTCCTCAAAGTCCTCGTCCGATTCCGGGTCCAACACATGCGGCTGAACGCGCTGTATCTCCATGATGAATAAAAGTTTATTTCTACCACTATCAGGGTCACGTCTGTCTCCCCCTCCCTCCCTGAGACGGCGGAGGAAGGGCGGCTCCCTTGTCGCCTACGTCACGTTTGGAGGGCGGAGCCTGTGCTTTCTCAGGACGGGGGGGGGGGGGGAGGAGCAATAGTCGGACTTTCATAGTTCCTGGTCTGTGACGCCTCCAAGAAATCAGTAAGATTTCAAAACTACTGTGTAATGGATGTTCCAAAACCCAAACTGTGCTTGTTTATGTGCAAAAGATACAATGTGAAAAGAGTTATTTTATTTCAGACGGACACTTTAATAAATAGTAAACGTTTTAATGAGTTTATTTTTTCCTACAAACCTGCACGATTTACACATGATTTTAAAAAAGTGTTTACCGTTCGAGTCCGTTGACGCTCATTTGACTCAGGTCTTGCACCAGGGCGCAGTCGCTCTGCTTCTTGCGCTGTTTTCTCTGTGATTTCTGTGCGTCTCCACCGGGGGCAGTACTGAGTCTGTTCTGAGAGCCACGTGTCCGGTTCATTACGGCTCCTGCAAAGCAACAAGACGTGGACAAACTCAGAATGAAACGACAAAGCAGGAAAAGGTACAAAAAGTGTTTTTCTAGATATGTGTGAAGAGGAGCGGCCCAAACCAGAAACTAGACGATTTTCTGTGTTTTTAGTGTTTCTGTCGAACAGTTGTCATACAGAAGTGAAAATGTATTGTTTAATATTGGTGATTATTACACATAGAACAGTAGAACCATAACAAACGAGGACTTATCTATAATTTTCTTTTTAAAACAAATCAACATTTTCTAAATATACAAAAGACAAATTTTATGATTTTCAGTACAGAAAATACTAATTTGACTAAATGTAGTCAAAATGTGACTGTTGATGGTTTCACAATCAGCCAAGTTGTTCAAACTACATTTTTAGGAGTAATTGCTGATCAAAAACTAACCTGGAAATAACAAACCCAACATGTTTGTAGAAAAATGATGTAATCCTTTAGTATTTTGAGTAAAGTTCACTCCTGTATAAATGTTTTGTGTCTGATGACTTTATATTAGAGTTTAATCTGCTGTGACACGGTTTGGGCTTCTACAAGTAAGACGAACCTCAACAAGATTTTATTAATACAAAATAAATGTGTAAGAATTGTGAATTATTCACACAGATCATCCTCGTCTGCTCCTCTGTTATATTCTGACAATATTTAATGTAAACATTTATTGTATTTGTCTGTCTGTGAATAAATATGTGCATTTGTCAGATGTTTTACTCAGACCTTTTGACACTTTTTCAGGTTCACTTTAAATTTTTATACCTAAACTACGAGACGCTGCAGAGACTTTTCTCTTCCCATGTGCAAATCACAGAAAACTCGAGTCCAGAAGACCGAAACTCTGGAATCATTTAGCCCAAACTCTCACATCGATTTCCTCACTGGATTATTTTAAAAGACAATTAAAACTAAAATTGATTTGTAATGATATTTAATATTTGATCGACTGAAAGTCCACGTGTCTGTTCACAACTGTTGTGATAAACTCATGTTTATGGGGAGGTGATCTTATAAAACCCAAAAGCTCTTCTCATTCTCACTGCACATTTTCATTTTCTTTAGTTTCTACCCATTTGAAATGTTGTTTTAAATATTTGTGCAAATAAAATCTAAATCTAAACTAAATTTTTTGTGTTGTTTAGTAAGTACGGTTCAACAGATTATTTAGAGTTTTCTTTCATGTTCTTAAACGATGCATTTAAAAAGTTGTTAGAGTGGAATCAGCGTGTTTAGGAGGCTCTTTGCACAGCGAGCCTCACACGGTTTTAAAGTGTCAACAGTGGAACAAAAGCAAATGGCTGCGATATATGGAGCCTCCTTTAGTGCGAGCAGCTATGCCAATACAGTCCACAGCTGTAGCAGCTTTACTGAGGGGCCCGGCTCCTCAAAGGCCGAGGTGAAAAGAGCCACACAACCTCAGTGTGTCAACAAACTATAGTCCAAACGATGTCTATGTAAAACCTCCCCCTAATGGGCCCACACAAACAGACATGATACAGAGGCAGGAGGAGCGGCGGGGGGCAGGGCGGGGGGCAGACGGGGGGCGGCGGGGGCAGGAAAGTGAAAGTGCACCTATAAAGACTGTTAGAGGCTTAGAGGGGGTGTTAAAAACGCAATATTCACCCAAAATTATAATAAAAATAATAATCTTTACTTATAAAACAGTTTTAAAAACAAGGTATAAAAGTTTTGTAGAAGCAGCAAAGAACAAAAAGCATCAAAATAACACAGAGAAAGCACAAAAACAGACAATGACACAAACAATCCAATCAATTATAATAAACAAATAAAGAAATAAAAAGAAATAAGAAATAAAATCAAGCTAAAAACAGCTAAAGAAAGGCCAACTGATAAAAATGAGTTTAAAGACGTGATTTAACAGATGAGAGTGTGAGCCTCGTCTCCTCCGGCAGGTCGTTCCAAAGCCGAGACTTTGAGACTGGAAAGACTCCAGCTCCTTTGTCTGGAGTCTGGACTTTGGAACAGTCACAGGGACCTGAGGGTCTGAGGCTGGAGAGTCGGGCTGAGTATCAGTAAGAAGCTGCAGATACGATACCTCGATACCTCGATACCTCGATACCTCGAGACAGTCAACTTTCAGTAAGGTTCAATAAAAAAAAGAAAAATAAAATAAAAACTAAAATCACTTGTTCTTGCGTAAAGTTCATATGAAAATTTTAATCGTCAAAACAGTGAAAATGTCAAATGTGTCGCATAAACTAAACAAACAACAAAACTAACTAATTGAGTAAAATAAACCAAAAAATCCTCTTGGTGATATATCTATACAGCAGCCCTCGATATCGATACTGAATCATCACATTAAACGATATGATATATCGATACTAGCACTATCCCAACACACTCAGCCTCTCTGTGCTAAGTCCCTCCCCCTTCAGAGCAGGGAGAGGGAGAGATGCACTCTCGCTTTGAGGAATGACTGGGTTCAGGGTTTTGGGGTTCGATCAGGGCAGAGCACAAAAGAACTACAACCAAAAACCAAGAGGACTGTGGGATTCCACAGGACGACAGGCCGGAGCAAAGAGGGAACAGCCAATCAGCTTCTTTCTGTCACATATTTGAGTCTTAAACGCTGATGCAGATTCAAGTGAAGGGTTTTGCACCTGCTCGTCTCCATGGAGACAGTAGTGTCTGTTATGTTACTCAGTATGGCATTAAATCATTTGTTGACGTCAAACAGCTGCACGATTATAAGTTTTAGTACAAAGAGGACGGTGGTCGCTCTCCTCCTTTTACATTTGAAACTTTCTGTCATTGTTGTTCTGGATTTTGGCACTGGCCAAGAAAAACACATATTTTGTATTTTCTTAAATCCACATATATTCAGTGCAAAAATAAAAAATACCTTGAAAAACATGGATTTGTGGCTTGTAACTGGAGACAGACACGTTTGCATCCAGTGTGAACAGTAAACTGGGCTGATTAATATTTTAGGGTTAGATTTAGCTGCTCAGTCTTCTTCACATTTGACAGGTGACGCCCCCTCGTCCTTTGACAGGTGACGCCCCCTCGTCCTTTGACAGGTGACGCCCCCTCGTCCTTTGACAGGTGACGCCCCCTCGTCCTTTGACAGGTGACGCCCCCTCGTCCTGGTGACTATTAAAAAACACAGGAGACTCATCCTAAAAACAGAGCGTCCAATAACTCAGAGTGTTATTAAAGCAGGACCTGAGGGAGTGAGGACCTGAGGGAGTGAGGACCTGAGAGAGGACCTGAGGGAGGGAGGACCTGAGGGAGGGAGGACCTGAGGGAGGGGGGACTTGAGTGAGGACCTGAGTGAGGACCTGAGGGAGGGGGGACTTGAGGGAGGACCTGAGGGAGTGAGGACCTGAGTGAGTGAGGACCTGAGGGAGGGGGGACTTGAGGGAGGACCTGAGTGAGTGAGGACCTGAGTGAGCGCTCACACTCCAGGATTTACATCCACTGCTAAACACTGTGTATTATGATGAAGTGTGTCAGATGCCCTCCCCGTCTCTTCTGGAGACATTTAAAAAATAAACTTTGACCTAAATTCTTTTGTTAAAACACAATCACAATCACAAAGCTTCACAGAAAAAAAATTGCACTTAGACGTTAAGTGACTGGATGAAGAGGGAAAAGCGCCTCGAGTCAGCGGTGGATTTAAATGGATCATAAATCATAAATAATGACATCATCAGGAGGGGACGGCAGTGGACATGAGGACGTACGGACTGAATGTTGAAAAGTGTAAATTGTGCATTTTGCGGGCATTTGGGCAGGGCCTCGCTCCTCGTGCTTAAGGGCCTCTGGGGGAAGTTTAATGAGGGGCTTTTGCAGTGTTACCCCGGGCATTTAACTCCGCGCTCTGAGGAGTCGTCTTTTTTTTTTTTTTTTTCCGGGCTGCTCTAAACACACGCCCGGTCGGCATGGAAACCTCTTCAATTAGGCGGTCGTCTGAGAGGGGGCGCCACCTGCACGTGAGGGGCGCGTCGGGGCGTGGGGCGTTTGTTAAGAGGACGACTCCGCATTGACACGAGGAGGAAACAAACGGTTTGGTTTGTTTTTGTGTTGAACTAAAACAAGAGAAGAACAAATAACGAGCAGCACTTTGTCAATGAAGCAGCAGCAGCAGCAGCAGCAGCAGCAGCAGCAGCAGCAGCAGCAGCAGCAGCAGCAGCAGCAGCAGCAGCAGCAGCAGCAGCAGCAGCAGCAGCAGCAGCAAACGAACGTGACACAAAAACAACTTCAACATTTAATCATTCAGATGTAATTGTGTGTGTGTACATGAGTGTATATGAGTGTGTATGTGTGTGTATATAGTGTATGTGTGTGTGTGTATATATATATATATATGTCTGTGTGTTGTGTGTGTGAGTATGAGTGTCTATATGTGAGTGTATATATATGTGCGTATCTACATATGTGTATATGTATATGTGTGCATATATGTGTGTGTCTGTGTATGTACGTGTGTGTGTGTATGTGTGTATATGAGTGTGTTTGTGTGTTTATATGTGTGTGTATGTATGTATGTGTGTATATGAGTATATATATGTCTGTGTATGTATGTGTATATGTGTGTGTATGTGTGTGTGTGTGTAACTCTAATAAAATCTTATTATAGATTCATGATATATAAGTGCACATAAGAGGCTACAGGTCACGTCACACGTCTTTATCCAGTTTGTGGGGATATTATTCATACACGCACACATACAGACACACATACATATACACACACGCGCGCGCGCACACACACACACACAGTCTATGGTACAGTGTTGTACGGCTGCAACTAAGTCAGTGAATATTTTTTTCAATTATGCCTAATTAAATATAATGATAAACTTAAAATTTTCAAAATACATTTATAAACAGACAAAAGTGTAAAGTTACGTGTCAGTCAGTGATTATTTTGGTACATTTATACATGTTTTACTCACACAGACACACTGGGATGGCACCTGTACATGTTTATATATTGTATATTGTATTTGTATGTGTGTGTGTGTGTGTGTACTGTATGTGTGTATGTATGTATATGTGTGTATGTATATGTGTGTATGTATGTGTGTGTGTGTGTATATATGTGTATGTATGTATGTATATATTCCGAGTATCCAGGTTGTTTTTAGAAAAAAAGAGGAAACGATTAAGTATCATTGCATTATTATATGTTACAGCATGATGACGTAATGCTGTGGTCTGGGATTTGTAAAGGCCGCGGCTCCTTTTCACTGCCTCTAAAGTGATGTTATAGCGCCACCATCTGGAAACAGACACTCGCTGCAAAGTAACGCGGCTCCAGCGATCTCAAACAATGAAAAAAACCCGTCCGTGATTCAAATGCAATGCCATCATCAACAATCATCAATGTGCGCTCAAAATAATCAGGAAGACGCAAAGTTTGGATGCAATTCCCCGTGGCCGCATTTTCTTACCTGAGTCTGCGGAGAAGTCCAAAAAAAGAAGAACCAACAGACGAAGCCAAAACTTACGAGCTAAAATCAAACATGGAGAGGGCCGTGTCCGCAAATCAATCTGTAAATAAATCTGTGCATTAATTTGTAAATGAATCTACAAATGAGTCTCTGTGTTTGCGGAACTTAAAAATCGTGGCGAAGCGGGAGACCGTGCGGGACAGTCACGTGACGCGCCGTTTCCGCTGTAATTTTAAACATTTTGTGCGTTAAATTAAACATTTAGCGAATTTAAGCAAAACACCAATACTAAGAAAAAAAACTAGACATTTGGTTAGAAATATAGATGAATTAATTCAAGTCACTTTGAACGAACGGACCAGTCACGTGACCAATCCAAAACCCGATGGCGGCTTCTGATTGGCTAATTTCTATTCAAGCCGTAATGTTTTACACACGTAGAGATTTTATGTATAAACGAGTGTGGGCTGTAACTTATTCAGTTTTGGGAAGGTGACTTTTAAAATGTAATCCCCTACAGATTACAGATTACATCCCCAAAATGTATCTTGTAACGGAATCCATTAAATTACTTAAAGTGAGTAATGTAATCTGAATACTTTGGATTATTTGATATTGTCATGTTTTTTGAAAACTACATGAATGAACCAACCACATCCTGAAAATTCATGTTTGTTCAGTTTTTACTTGACCAGATTAAAAATATTATTGACAGAGAAATTATTTTTATATGAAATCACAATTATGTCCAAATACTGTTAATGTCATATTGTATTAGTTTAGTCCTGGTTTAGTCCTGGTTTTAGACCTGGTTTAGACCTGGTTTAGTCCTGGTTTTAGACCTGGTTTAGCCCAAAATGTGAAAATCCCTCTGTCTAATCCATTTATTTTGACAAAGTAACTGTAATCCAATTACCACTCACTGAAACAGTAATTGTAACTGAATACAGTTACTCATAATTTGTACTCTGATTACTTAATGCCGGTACTTGTAATCTGTTACTCCCCAACACTGATCTTATTTTACAATATTCTGATTTCTGTCAGAAATTTCAAATTCAGTGAACCAAAAGAAAATATAATCAAGTGATAAAAGCTCTCGTGTTACAGATTAAAACTATGACCAGGCAGGAGATGTTGTACTCTGATAATTCTCCTGGACTGAGAAAACTCTGCATTGAAAGAGTTGAATTTTGTGATCCAAAGTGCAATAACACATTTTTGAGATGTTCCTAACTAAATTATTGCTTCCCCAAGCCAATTAAAAGATATTATATTCTTAAAAGAAACTCTGAAAAGAAAGACAGTAAAATAATTAGAATCAAATGTTTTTCCTTTCCAGTTCCTCCTAAAGTAAAGGAAACACAATTTTAAATTTTGAATCAAATTATTCCAAACAAAAATTCAAATTTGAGATGGGTAAATGTGTGTTCTGTGACACAAGGGACGAGAACTTGGAAGATCTTTTCTTTGCATGTTGTTTGGTACAACATTTTTGGTCTGATTTTCATTCGTTGTTTCAGTCCAGGGGAATTCAATTTGCCCTTCTAACCATAAAAGAAAAAAACTTGTGTATTAAAAGAAGATAAAACAAAGGAATTTGGAATGAATATTTTATTAATTTTAGATAAATTTTTCATTCACAAATGTCGATTTTTTAAGATAAATCCAAATATAACTCACTTTAGAAATGACCTGAGATTTTTTGTTGACTCATTGAACCTGATGGAGAAAAGAGAAGTCGGCAGGTTTCTTGTTTCTTTTCTGAACGATGTTGATTTGTTCCATTGATTAGAAGCTTTAGAATTGCCCCCTCAGTTTGTTCATAAATGTTTTTTTTCTTCACAATTGTGGTCTGATTTTTTTGCTATGTTTAGGTGTGATCTTTGTGTGGTGCCTTTTTGTTTGTATCCGGGGTTTGAAGTACTAATCATGTCATAATATAAATCGAATTTCAAGTTTCTTTGCTTTAATGCAGGTTTTATAGAAGCAACAGTTTATAAACATCAGGAACTACTTTTCCCATGATTCATTTCAGCGCAGACAACATAAGGAAATATGTTTTTACTTGAATTCTTTGGATTATGACGGAAATAATTCACACCACAATATTGTCAAGATATTTCGAAAGCCAAAAAGTTTCCTGTCTACAATTATATCAGCCTCTGCAAAATATCACAATAAAAATCAAAGTATGACAATAAATATCAAAATATCACAATAAATATCAAAATATCACAATAAATATCATACCGTGAGATGCATGTCGTGATAATATCGTACAGAGAGATTTGAATATCGTTACATCCCGACTGACAACAGTAAAGAGACATAAACTGACATTTGTTTTGGTAAAATACAGAAAATCTGCTTAAAAATCGACCAAAACACAAAGAAAAAGTGATTAAAGTGAATCACATTAGAGTCGAGTGCAGAACAGTTTTACTTCATCACGTTTCACTCATTTCACTGTTTTATTATCACCAACCTCCACAAACCAGAGACGTCCCAGTGTTTTATTTTGAAAATCTGGTCTCCCTGTGTGTTCCCTTTGTCATTGTTGTTCAGTGGACGGAACTGAAATGCAGTATCACGTTTCCACTGCATTTATACCACAGAAGTATCATAAGATCTGATTCTAGATCCTTGATTTAAACTCCCAAATGTTTCTAATGTCAAGGCTGTGTTCTGTTCAACCACCACCAGAGGGCGACAACAGTCACTCTGAGAAGTGACCGACACACAAAACTACAAAACGACACAAGTAGAAGTGAGTGATTTTATTTCAACCTGCACATCCAATTCACAACAGAACAATACAAATGCAGATACAAACATGCAGCTTTGAAAAGGGGATGGATGAAGCAAAGCGCAGACATTTTCAATCCCCTCACACATTTGACAGAACAACACTTCAACTGAGTAAATGATACATGAAAAGACAAAACACTGACACACTCAGACACACACTGACCCAACACCATGGATCTATTCAAATAACAACACAACAACACAACACAAAAACAACACAAAAACAACACTCAAACACTGACCAAACATTATTTCACACAGAACCAGAACCACACAGACAGAACCATATGTGTGTGTTTTGACAGCGTCTGTGAAAAAGAATCTCCTTGGAGACAATAATAATAATAATAAAAATAATAAAGTTTTATGTGTAAAAGTGTCAGAGTGACGTGCACTAGAGGGAAAGACCAAAACAACACCTCGTCTGCACTTCCTGCTCTTTGAATGTGTGAAAACAAATGCAGAGACCACAAGTGTGCTATTTTCAGACCAGGTTCAGACCAGTTTAAACTGGACTGAACCTGGACTAAAGAAATAAACCAGGTCTAAACCAGGACTAAACCAGGACTGAAGCAGGACTAAGCAGGACTAGAGCAGGACTAGAGCAGGACTAGAGCAGGACTCAACCAGAACTAAACCAGGACTAAACCAGGACTGAAGCAGGACTAGAGCAGGACTGAGCAGGACTGGAGCAGGACTGGAGCAGGACTGGAGCAGGACTAGAGCAGGACTAAACCAGGACTAGAGCAGGACTAGAGCAGGACTAGAGCAGGACTGGAGCAGGACTGGAGCAGGACTAGAGCAGGACTAGAGCAGGACTAGAGCAGGTGTAAAATGTGCTCAGACCTTGAGTCCATGTGATGTGTGGTCCTTGTGCAGACCCTGGACACACTGACAAAACATGTGTTTTTGTGGAGGACAGACTCTTAAGTCTGCTGCAGGACAGAGCTCCAGGACGACTTTCTCTGACATAACTGAGCGTAGACGTCCTGAGTCAACGTAGGGATCAGGACTCTGATGATCTCAGGTGTTCAGGTCTTGGGACCTATGGGAAGGTGTTCTGTGGGACTAGTGACAGGAGTCATTTTGGGT